GATAGATTTAGAGAGCTTGGTGATGACAATGTTTTTGTTTTTTTTTAAGTTTTTGGTACTTTAATCATTTTTAAATTTCTTAAAGAACTTGACTTAAAGCATAGACAGTACTCAGTACGCTGTTTAATAGCCCAATCAATTGCCTCATTACTATTAATAAACCCTAAGCCATAACAAAAGGCTCCAAATGTGGCCTTTACAATGCACACCAAAAGTATAAACAGAGACACCACCCATGCGAAACATGGCACTGTTAGTACTTAATATTTAGCAGCTGTTGATGGAGTCAGCCTCTCTGAGAGCTACCACAGAGTTTGAGAAAACCTGACTACCAGGCGGCTTCAGAGCCATAAAACTGAGTTTTATAGCTGTAGCCTTATTAGGGTATATTAGAATGAATTGCCTAGTCATAAAAACAGAGACGCAAACAAAATGTATGCATTGAGTCAAGAAGACCCAGGATTCAACATCCTAAACTGGAAACAATATATTAAAAATACATCTACGCCAGCCTAATAGATAAAAAAAAGGTGTGAGGCTGGTCAATAGGTAGAATCTGTTTACCCCTTAAGTCTTTGCCTCGGAGGCTTTTTACAATACAGTAGTCGGATGCATTTAACATCGTTGAAGATGAGTATTTTATTGAGATCTCTAGCCTTTACTCAACCAAGAACCCCAAGTCAGGGGTGTTTCCTAGCTTTTGCCTCAAAAAGTGTATCCTACAAGACAGCAGGACATAAAGCAAGTTGTACTTGGTTACTTTGTTAATTAAAAATTCAAAGACAATTTTTTTTTTTGATATCTTCGCTTTTAACAAGGCTGCAAGCAACCACTAACTAGTGTTGGAAGTTACTGGAAGAGAAAAGATGAAAATTGTAGAGCAAGATAACGATTGACAAACGACTTAAAAGATTGCAAATTATATGAATCAGGAAAGCAAGATGAAGGAAGCAAATTCCAAAGAACTGATGTTTCAACTCAATATAGGGCCAAGGATTGAACCTTAAGGGACCCCTGAGGTTACAGAATAAGAAGAAGAGTGCTGTCCATCAAGGACAACTTTTATACTTTTATTGGAAAGGAAGGATTCAATAGTCTTGAAGATGTTTCTAGATACACCGTAAGAAGAAGGTTTATGGAGAAGACCAGCATGCCAAACTTTATCAAACGCTTTAGAAATGTCAAAAGCGATGGCCTTAATCTCACCACCTTTATCAAATGCACAATAAATCCTATTGGTTATTACTGTTAGTAAATCAGCTGTAGAATAAGAAGATCGAAATCCATATTGATGATCAGAAAGTAAATTATTAGATTCAAGATGAGAAATTAAGTGCTTGTTAATTAAAGATTCAAAAACCTTTCTTATGATAGGAAGAAGACTAATGGGACGGTAGTTAGACGAATCAGATCACTTTCCATAATTTTTAAAAATAGGGATAACAGATGCTGCTTTCCAGGAGGCTGGAAAAAAAGACTTTGATAAGCACTTGTTGAATAGTTTTAAAAGGATAGACAACAACTCCGGAGAACACTTCTGCAAGACTATAACAAGTATGTTGTCCGGGCCACAAGCTGCAGAAGCGTCTAAGCAAGAAATCACTTTAGATACAGAAATTGGAGTGATATGAATGTCTAGCAATGGATCAACCTGTTAGTGATGGATAACCTGACGGCTATATTAGGTAGAACAAGTAGAACTAGTGCAGGTAGAACTAGTGCAACGCAACTAGAATGCAACTAGTGGAATCAAGAGATGATATTGATGAAAAGTTCTTAGCAAGTAATTCAGCTTTGTCTTTAGGTGAGGTGACAAAGTCTGAATCATACAAAAGAGGTGGAATTACATTATAATAATAAAAGTAAGAAATATATAATTAATAATAGTAAGATTGGGTGATTGTGCTCAGAGCTATCTCCATTTAAATATTTAAAGTCATGCAGCAGACAGGAAAACAAATTAAAAGTTTTAATAATTAAAATCTTACATGCAGCAGACAGAAAAACAAGGTAAAAGTTTTAATAATTAAAACCTAACATGCAGTAGGCAGGAAAACAAGGTAAAAGTTTTAATAAATAGCATGGTCTGAACCACTTAAAGGAGAACAAGGAGAAACTGAGCACAAGTTAGGGTCAGACAAGTCACAAAATAAGGAGTTGAAGTAAGTGAATAGGATTGTCTGAAAAACGTGTCATTTAGTTAACCATCTAATTAAATGATTGAACAAGACAAAAAAAAATGAACTTTAGTGCAGGATGTTAGAGCTAAAACCAAGCCAGTGTATTTTTTTATTTATTATTTTTTACTCTTTTTTTTTTATCTTAAATATTTTTTAATAAACTTGTGGTAAGTTTCAATTTTATTTTAACCGAATTTCCACAAACAAACTAATCTAAACAACTTAAACTGTAAAAGAAAAAACAAAAAACAAAAAAATGTACAACTATAAAGAATAGAGTAAAATAAGGTCAAATGGAATAGTTGAGGATTTTAATTATTTTTTATGAAAAAAAAGATTTTTTAAAGTTGTAGAGAATATTGAGCAATTTAAGTATATAAATGTATTGTATTTAAGTATTACTGTATTTAAGTATATAAAAACAAATAATTTTTTTTTTAAGTTTTCTCTGAAACTTTATTTGATTAAAAAAAATTTATTGCATTCTTCACTTACATTCGGGGAGAATGAAATACTCATATATATATATAACAACACTTTATTAAAAAAACAAAAAGCAGTCAATTAAGGCATTTAAGAAGTGAGCTATTGCTTCGCTTATTATTAGCGTATTTCATTTAACACCACAATTCTCCTTTTTTACTCATAACTTTTTTTTCCTAAATAGCAAATTTAATTTTGAAATTTATATGCATGTGAAAACTTAAAAATTTGTAACAAATTTTTTTTCATCAAAAAAAATTTGATATCATCTTACTCAGAAAAGTATTCTCTACAACGTGATTTTAAAATATTTGCAAAAAGATTATCTAATAATTAATTAAAAGCAAAAAAATAAACATTGTCATAACTATTTCATTCTACCTGCTTTTTCATTTTGTGTTACTGTTTTACTCTAATAGTTTTTAATGACTTAAAATTTATTAGTTTTATATTTTCAATCGAAATCTTTTTTTTTTTAAAAAAATTCTAAAAATTCTAAAAATGGATAAACTTTTAATTACTTTATGCGACATAAGAGTTTTTTACTTTATGCACATTAAACTAAACCAAAACAAAAATAATAAAAACTAATTGTTTAATAATATGAATAAAATTTGTTCATTCATTTGTTCCAACAGTTGTAACAAAAACAATATTAAACTTATATATCAATATCGAACTCATTTATTTAGGTTTCAAGTGCAAAAACCTTTTCTAAAGAAATAAATGAGTTCGATATTAATAAATGAGTTTCATATAATGAAAGTCTTTTCTTTATAGTTGCTCTCTTTATTGGAGTTATTTCATTTAGACTTTTTATATTTTCATATTTCTCTTATTGGAGTTATTTCATTTAGATTTTTTTATATTTTCATATTTAATAACGTTTTATGGACAAAAATAAGATAAACAAACGTTTGTAGGTAAAAATAGAAAGAAATTTAATTTTAAAAATGTTACAACGTAATCAATCAGAAGCCTAGACAGAAGATGAAAATAAAAAAACTCAGTTATTGATGATTTTTGATAGTTTTTTCATTTTATCATTGAATGTATTAAGTTACATTCAATGATAAAATGATAGAATGATAACTATCAAAAACCATCTCAAAAACCTAATCAATTATCTAATTCAATCATTCAAGATCACGGAAAAATCATTTTAATTTTTCCATGGTCTTGTTTTTCAAAACATCTAAAAAGTCCATACAAATGCCAATAGTTAGCAAAAAGAAAAATTCAATTTTAGCGCAGTTATTTATTCCCACTAAAGCCTGCATGTATATGTACAGGCATGTGACTATTTGAGTGTTTGTGAATTGAAGGATAATTACTATCAAAACTGAGATTCAAAGATAAAATAATTTATTTCACAAAGAGTCTGACAGATTTTGACTCTTAGTAGAGATTTATGTCAACGCATAATTCTCTCGGATAATATTTAAGACAATTAAAATCATATATAATACTACCTATTAAATCTAAATTTGTTATTAATAATAATATTATTAATAATATTATTAATCTGATAATATTAATACGCTAATTTAATAGTAGTAATAGTCGACTTACGTCATTTTCTAGGCTTTTCTATTTTAAAGTAGTTTCTAGACTTTTCTATACGCTTTTTTTTTTAATTTTATTTACTAACAACCCGTATTACGGGTTGCTTACTGCTAGTATATTATTAATAATATTAATAATCTTGTCTTCTTTCCCTGTAGATCTATCTTGGTTTTGTGTTCTTGCATTATTACATTGTTTAATTGCAAATCTTTTAGTCTTCAAATAATTTTGTCTGCACCCTTTATTATTTGTTTACACCTTTTATAATTTGTTTGCACCTTATAAAATATATTAGCATCTTGCAAAAAAAAAATATTAAAAATAACATTGATTGAAACAATTAGTTTTATAAAAAAAAAGCAATTGAACAAAGTAGTTTTAATAAATAAAAAAAATCCTTTTAAATTAGTTATCTAGGCTGCATTTGTTTTCACAGTGAATATTGTTGGGTTTGTTTTTGTTGTTGTTTTTTTGCAACTTTTCCTTAATGTATGATGGTTGGTGAGTTTGCCCTAGCAGTGGATCATGTGGAAGTTTCTTTAGAGAGTTGTAATAATTATCATAAAATGACTGTATTTGATAATTATAAACTTATTAAGGTTTTTTAGGGTAGATTATAACTATAGAAACTATTGTTATCATTTTTTATGTATTTTTAAATTAGTTTTTGATATATTAAACTTTTTATGTAAGAGTTTCATTGTTTTTGAATTTAATGTTGCAATATTGATTTGGATTTATTTTTTAAATTATTTTTATTTTTTTATTTAGTTAGATAGTTTGAATCGCACTGCAATTGCTTCACGTCTAACTCTTAACTGCACTAACTCATACGTAGAACCACAAAGATTACATGGAATACAAATCACCATCTTAGATGTATGTTTTTATTTAAATTTTTGGTCAACATATTTTTATGTGAAAATAATAAAGCTCATAAATTTTCTTCAGGTATTTGATGAATGTGCAATTTCAGACCCTGTCAAAGAAGAGGTATACAAATGTTTTCCAGATGCAAAGCGCGCACATTTAAAAACTGGTGGCAACTTTCCCTACTTATGTCGATCTCCAGAAGTCAATCTACATATTCAGGTATATTGTTAATTTTTTATATAAGATAGCATTTCTAGAATTGTAGTTTATTTATTTTTTTGTTTATTTATATTTTTAATTTGCAGCTCTTTTACATTTTTTAAAGTGTTTTGTTGAGTCTTACGCATTGTTTATAATTCAGAAATTCTGATAGGTACATGGATTGAGTTTGTGAATGCACTTGCCAACTTTTTTTTTTGTAATTCACCTTCCCGAGGCTGAGAAGGCCACTACAGATGAATTGATAAATTGTTGTTATAACCCTCTCTCAACTCTATAACCCCGAAACACGAACCTTGATGCACCAGACTGCTGGGCAGAGAAACAATTCTGTACTACCAGGGGCATGGTGGGAATTGAACACGGAACCTCTCGCTTATGAAGTGAGCGCTCTACCATTACACATTACCACATGTTTGCACCATTTATAATTGCACATTTATAATGCCTGAAAATCTTTCCCTAATTGATCTATGGTGTGACATCAAAATCTTTTGATGTCACACCATTAACACAGGTGAATGTGATGTCACACCATGAACATAGATGAATGTGATGTCACACCATGAACATAGGTGAATGCGATGTCACATCATGAACATAGGTGAATTTGATGTCACACCATGAACATACGTGAATGTGATGTCACACCATAAACATAGGAGAACGTGATTTCACACCATGAACATAGGTGTGCTTGTAGACATCAAATTATATTATCTAGCTTATTACACAACAGAATAAAGGATAAGTTTAATTTAATCACACGACAGAACAAAGGATATATTCTTGGAAGTTTAGCTGATCCAAAACTTGTTTGACTATATATATATATTTTTTTTTCATTCAAAACTTTATTTTAAAAACTTTCTGATGACTTTTAACATTTTTTTTTTAATTTTCTGATGACTGAGATCGGTCTGATCTAAGTTTTTTGTAAAGTTGCTTTCAATTTTTTTAATTATTTAATCAAACTTGTGGTAGAAAAACTTGTGATTGAAACTACTTCTCAACAACCCAGCTTCAACAACCCAGCTTCAAGCAACACAGCTTCAACAACCCAGCTTCAAGCAACCCAGCTTCAACAACCCAGCTTCAACAACCCAGCTTTAACAACCCAGCTTTAACAACCCAGCTTTAACAACCCAGCTTCAACAACCCAGCTTCAACAACCCAGCTTTAACAACCCAGCTTCAACAACCTAGCTTCAAGCAACTTGATTAGAAGTTTATACTAGCTTTTTCTCACTAGAATTTGACAGAGCTATGTTGTGTTGTGATCTTTATCAGTTGTGGTCTTTAACGAAATGACTATAGAAGATGAGCTCTAATAATATATTCAAGAAATCATTTTTATTCAAAGCATTAACTTTACAAAAATAGCTGGAATGTTTTAAGTATTATTTAGGCTAATCTTTTTTATTTTTAATGTTATTTTTTTGGCATTTATTAATAATTTCAGCTTCATCTGCGTGAGTTTAATCGTACAAGGTTTAGCGCTATAGATCCGCGTTTTCTTGTTGAAGTTGAAGAAGAAACGGAGGATATTCACCTACCCAATCAGTAACAATACACGTGGTAAAACGTCGTTTAACGTTATTTATAATAGTAAGATAATATTCGATATTAATAAAAGGTATTTTTAAGACGTTGTATTAGGTCAGTATTAGTAATGTATCTTTTTTTTTCTTCTTCAAACGTTAAAAATCTTTTTTTATATTAGATGTATTGATCTTTTAATTTTACTGTTTTTGAATTTACTGAATTTCACGGATTTAAGTCAAACATAAATAAGAAAAAAAGAAAAAAACATATTTTTTTGTTGTTTTTAACTGTCTTTAAATTGTGAATTTTGCTCTTTTATTGTAATTTACGTAAATTATGCTTTTTTTTATAAGTATTTATGTGTTGTTAAACTTTTTACATTTTGTTTACTTTGTGAAGCATTTTTTTTTTAACAAAATATTTTTCAAATATCTCTTTGCGAAATTTATTATTAGAGTTTTTGTAATGCATTCATATTTCATTTTTTGCGTTTGATAAAAGCAGTATTCAATATTATTGTTAAACCTGTCGTTTTACTCCAAAATAAATTTAAACCCACATAAGAAAGAATGTATAAATTTTTACAGATCCAATAATATAATATATTATTATATATTATATAATTTGGAGTTAACTTTTTTAACAACTTTATTCAATTATTCCTTGAATTCAAAACGCATAAACCTTGATTACCTTATATGATCATATTGCTTTTGCCCGATATTGATTGCGAGGCAAGCATTACGGTGTACAACCTAATCACCATGACACTGCTCATTTTTAGAGGTTTTAAGTTGAAGTTATTTTTACTTCAGATTTTTTTAACCACTCTTTCGAGGAGGTTGATATGAAAAAAAAACTGTTAAAAATGAATTAAAAACCGCATCTTTTTTCATTTTTTGACCATTTTTCTAAATACTTAAAACCTTCAAAAAATGAGGGGGTCGTAAACTTTATGTGGTTGTATCTTTTGAGCGTCAAAATATATTTTAATAAATTTTGAAACCTAATTACAATTTATGATGGGATTCAAGATAAATTCTTTTTTCTTTTAAAATTTATTTTCTCTCAACCAAGGGGATGCATGGAGCATTTTTCAAGTGTATTCCTGCCCCTGTGATCTGAGTGCCATGATTTTTAGCAAAAAAATATAATTTCAATGGATATTAGCAAAATAATAGTTGCAATTATCTTCTTGTCAAAAATCTACTAGGAATGCAACAAATTTTCCATCTCTACTGACACACACAAAACATGAATAAATCTCCGATAACAAATGAAATTCCACAAACAGTATTTTACATATTATATGTTACAAAAAAGATTTGGTATTTTTTCAATCTATATATATTCTTAAAAAATCTTCTTACAACCTCGTTGAACTGTATTCAACAACCATAGCTCTTAGCTTTTCACCATGATGGACGTTTTTTTTAGACACAACGAACCTTTTCAGTGTCTTGTTTAAGCTTTTATGCACTGCTTCAGATGTTTATTCTTATGTAATACCGAGCAGGATCTTCTGTCTATTGAGATGGAACCTGATTATTCCCTTGAGATAGAACCTGATTATGTGAAACTTCCATCCAAGTGAAATCTTCATTGCAAATACATCATAGACATATAGTTTTAAGTGAAGGATGGACTCCACAAACTTGTCTATTTTTTCTTTGTAGGAAAAAGTATCAAGTTTCATCGCAAAACAGCATTAAGCTACTAAATCAAACAAAAGTTAACCAAAGTTTAACTTGCTGAAAATAATAATATTAACATATCGTGTCTCCTAATTTTATGTAGACTGGTTGGTCAATAGTCCCCTACCTATACTAATTGAATTAAAAACATTCTAAGAAGTGTTAAAAAAAATTAAAAAGCAATGAAGTACCTTCTTTAAACCTCCTCAGGGTTTCAATACATTCCAGATATTTAATTGGAGAATGAAATGTCATTTCGTCCAATGATTTTACAACTTTGGCACAGTTGGGTCCATCAAAACCACCACCATTATAGTTATGCCTGATAACTGTTTTCTTTTGAAGAAATTCCTTCAGATTTTTATCAGTGAAGAAGAAATTAATAATTTTTCTAACATGTTGTTTTTAAATATAATATTCAGGTGGTGGAATTATGTTGGTAATTTCCTCAGTCAATTTCTCATGCAACAGACATAGATTAGGATTAGATTAGGATAGATTAGGAACATTTTTATAATATTGCATCTGTATACGAGGTTTGTTATTAAATTGCTATTTTTTGAATTCATCTGCTAGTGATCCGAAAGTCTTTTGAATTCCTTTTTCATCCATCGACCCATCACAACAGCAAACAAGTATTTTCCACCGTGACCTTTATTATAGAAAATAACTAATAGGTATTGTTTATTTAAAATATAAAACATAAATGAATCAAGGTACTTACTGCTAATCCAATGATGATGTTGATCAATTTGAGGTTTGAAACCAAGGTAAACTTTAATTTGAGGTTTGAAACCAAGGTAAACTTTAATTTGAGGTTTGAAACCAAGGTAAACTTTAATTTGAGGTTTGAAACCAAGGTAAACTTTAATTTGAGGTTTGAAACTAAGGTAAACTTTAATTTGAGGTTTGAAACCAAGGTAAACTTTAATTTGAGGTTTGAAACCAAGGTAAACTTTAATTTGAGGTTTGAAACCAAGGTAAACTTTAATTTGAGGTTTGAAACCAAGGTAAACTTTAATTTGAGGTTTGAAACCAAGGTAAACTTTAATTTGAGGTTTGAAACCAAGGTAAACTTTAATTTGAGGTTTGAAACCAAGGTAAACTTTAATTTGAGGTTTGAAGCCAAGGTAAACTTTAATTTGAGGTTTGAAACCAAGGTAAACTTTAATTTGAGGTTTGAAACCAAGTTAAGTTGAAGGAGTTGGAAAAGTGTACACAACAGAACTAAAAATATTTCTCTGAAAGAACAAACTTCAGTTACAAGCATAGATAGGTCAGTACAATAAACAATATCTTTTTCATAAAAGTTTTTACCGATCTTGAGCTGACATTTTATTGCATCGTAAAACCTATTCATGTAGCTTGATCTGTTCGTAATTTCAGCATAGGTGTTCTCTTGTATTCCAGATCTTCCAACATCTTTTCTTATCTCCTACATTATTCTTAACACTGCACAATTTGGAAGATTGTTGTTTATCTTCAAGTTCAGGATTGTTTCACTTTTTATATACCTCATAGGTGATCGGTCTCTGTATACTTTAGCAGGAAGAGCTGTTGCAAGTTTTATTTTTTTACTCTCACCAAAAACAGGTATTTCTTTTAGTGTACAAGAAACAACTCTATCAGCGATATTTTGATTATTTGAAGTAATTAAGGCGTAAAAATTTTAAACAATTTTTTTTTTTTTTGTAAGGATGACGAATACCAGGACCAACAATTTGACAGCATTCTGAGCAAAATGAATTTCTTTTTTCGAATGTAATCTTTTCAGATTCTACGTAGGTAAATTCAGAAAGATTAAGTGTACTAATACTTTTAGTACACTGCCTAGGCAGCAATTAACACAATTGCAGTTGCCATCTTTTTATTTAATTCTTCCCAACTTTTTAACTTGATCACGACCTTTTATCCAGGAAGTCTCCACAGCTTTAATAGTCGCTTTACCTTTCTGTATTAAATATAAGTTTATCTTGCAGCTTTCGCATATTCCAGACGGATGAGAACTTAGGTTCAGACTGAATCCAGGGTCCACAAAGTCTTTGATCAGACGAATCAGTGAATCACTCTTCTCCAAAGATAGACATTTTTTGTCTTTATTGACACAACAGAAACATATCCATCTCCTATTTTCTGAATGAGATCATGCTTTTTGCAGACTCATTTTGTAAAAAAAGCGTTTTTATTTAGTATATTCATTTAGTTATGTTTTATAAATTTTATAAATCTATACTCTAACAAGTTGTTTAATTTAAACAAATTATCAGACGGTTTTTATCAAAATATATTTCGACGCTCAGACAGCCACATAAAGTTTAGGACCCTCTCATTTTTTGAAGGTTTTAAGTATGTAGAAAAATGGTCAAAAAATGAAAAAAGGTGCGGTTTTTAATTCGTTTTCAACGGTTTCTATTTCATATCAACCTGCTCGAAAGAGTGGTTAAAAAAAATCTGAAGTAAAAATAATTTCATTTAAAACCTCTAAAAATGAGCAATGACGAGTTTTAATCTGATTTGACCAAACGTTACTACTTATTTTATATATATATATATATATATATATATATATATATATATATATATATATATGTGTGTGTGTGTGTGTGTGTGTGTGTGTGTGTGTGTGTGTGTGTGTGTGTGTGTGTGTGTTTGTATGTGTGTGTGTGTGTGTGTGTGTGTGTGTGTGTGTGTGTGTGTGTGTGTGTGTGTGTGTGTGTGCACTAAATATATATGCACTTCAAAAAAGTATCACTAAAAATATATTTTTAGTGATACTGTTTTGAAGTGCATAAACTATCAAGAAAGTGCTCGATGAACTGAGTCAGAACTATAATTTAGTAGAAAATAAAATTACGTGATTATCACAACTTTGAGTTTCATGCTGTTGCAATCATCAGGTGATATACAAATATAGTTTTTTCATTAAAAAATTATATACAGTTGGAATTAGCTACGTGAAACTATACAGAAAAAACTGTTGCTTAATAGAAATTTGTTTTCGTGAGAACATTTGGAAATCAACTCTGTTTTTTTTATTAAGTAGCTCTATGGCATTTTTATAAAATAAAATTATTAGTTTTTCATTTGAACAAAGTAAACATTTTCTTTGTTGTGTTTTTGTAAGCGTGGGCTCTTTTTAGGTTAGACCAAGTTAATTCGAGTGTTTATATATATATATATATATATATATATATATATATATATATATATATATATATATATATATATATATATATATATATATATATATATATATATATATATATATATATATATATATATATACATATATTTAGTAAGTCTAAACGACCGTGAAAGATATGAAAAATTATACAAAAGAGATTTATAAAATAAGTGCAATACATTCAACCTGGTTATTATACATATTTATTATACAAATCATTTTAAAAATAGATATTATGTATATAAAATCATTTCAAAAAAAAACCAAAGCTTTGATACAGGTTGCTTAATCAATAGTAAATACTTCCCTGAAGAAATTGGATCTATTTCTGAATGAAAATATTATAGTACAAATTTGTTTCAGAAATTATAAGCCATTGTAAATTTATTATCAAAGAAATTTAAAATGGTTTGACTCACCTAAAGATAAAAGTTGGTTAGTTTTGCCACTTGCTAAAGAATCAATGGCCTTGATATCTGATTATGATAAAAATTTAAAAAGAACTAATAAATTTGCACCTAAAAAAAAACCATTTCAATTTTGAAGACAATAATTCTTAATTTTTGAATTAATAGCAGAAATTTCCAATTCTGAGCATTTACAAATTCTCATGGCATTTCCGATTTCCTTAGAATGTGAATATGGAAACTACTATTAATATAGTTTTTTTTTAACTTACACAACTACGGGTGTCCGGGAGGGGAAATGATATTTACATTTTTCTTGAAAAGGGGTTGTCCAAAAATTACGTCACGCAGTTTTTGACATTTTTTGACATCCTCCGCCTTCCCTCGTAACGCATTCGTATAACTTTATTGACCCCTCTCCCAATATTTTTTTGGGAGGAGGGGTTCTGTTTCCGGCTAGTGAACAGAGGGTTCCAGGGTCGCTCTCGGTATCGAATTTTTTTTTTTTTTTTTTTTTAGTTAGTGCACATAGATTGTTTTTTTGTAGCTGCACACTTTTGTACACCAACTAAATAAAGTAATTTTTTTTTTTTTTTGTTATTTTTTATAATATACTAGTTTTAATATTAAACTATATAACTTGTATATTATAAAAATAAATAAAATTAAAGCGCTTGCTGGCAAAAAGAGCAAGAGTTTTTAAAAGAAGGTATACATTAATTTAATTTTGAATTTTCTACTTCCAAAAGTATGCGCGATTTTAATTCCATTTTTATATTCATTCATTTTAATTTTCAAATGTGTGATTTATGAAAATGCGTGATTTACAAAAGTTTTTTTTAACGTCATGCATATTTATATTACTTTTATTTCTAATTTTTATTTTTATTTATACTGTGTTACCATTTTAAAGGAATTGTTTTATAATTTATAATACTTAGGTTTATTAATTTTTAAAAGTCTTAGATAAGTTTTAATATAAAATTAAGTTAAAACATATTTCAAATTAATTTTAGAAGTTCATTAATGTATTTAATATTTTAATTATATTATCATTAAATTAATCATTTTTAAGCGTTTGATAAGTATTTAAAAAGTATTCAATTACGTTTGCCTTTTTTTCTATTCAATCCCGGGATTTCCAGGGATTTCCCGGGGACAAATTTCTCAATCCCGGGATTGAAAATTTCCTTGAATTTTGCCAACAAAACATTCCATCAAAATTCTTTTATTTTTAAAAATATTTTTTAAAACATTTTTAAAATACTTTAAAAACATTTTTTAAGTATTTTAAAAATATTTATGTGATCATCCCCCATTTTTATGGGATCATCCCTCTTTCACAAAAATACGTAATGTTCAAATAGAAACTAAAATGTCTTTATTTTTAGATTTTTTTTTTTGGATTATGTTCTTTTTAATTTTTTTTCTTTTTTCTGAAATTGTATATTAAAAAGAACAAAAAATATCATTATTATTATTATTTTTAAAATAATTTGTGTTTTATGCTCCACCAAACATATACATTTTTTCAACTATGTATTAGATCTACTATAAAATATAAAAACTGGCCAATCCATAATATTCATTTGTTTATAACAAGTCGAACTAATCTCAAGTTAAGAAGATGTTTTCTGAAAGATTTGTTAATAAAACAATTAATAAGAACATTAGAAATTGTAGAAAGTTTCGAAAATAAAGAAGCAATTGTGACCAACTCCGTCGGAATAATAATACGAAACAGTGTCAAGACTCCAACAACAGTGTACGGTGTCCAAGTTACAAAAAATAATAATGCTGATAAGAAACATACTTTCAAATGTTCTTTTTTCAAAGTATACATAGGTCTGGAGTTTTTATTTCGAATATAACTTGTTTTTTGCAGAGTAATTGCTTTTTTGCAAATATATGATGCGCATGTTATAACTAATCCTGGAAAAATACTACAAAAAATGAGTATTGTTAAAATATAGGATAGTGAGTTTGATTGCGTTAGTTTCCAGTCCAATGAACAATGTTTCTTATTGAGATCTATTTCATATTTTGACCAACCAAGTACAGGAAATGTTGCCCAGCTAAAACCGTAACTATAGCAAAATATTATCAATGTTGCTTTACACCATACTGTGCTAGAAATTTTTAAATAAAAATGTCGCCAGAAAATAGGATATTTAATGGCAGCTGTTCTAATTAAAGAAAGTACTAACAAATGAGTTATACTTGTTATTGCTAGACCAAAAACTGCATAACTGCCAGTAACGCACAATGGAGTTTTTTTCAATAAAGGTTTATCTGACATTACTATTTCAGGTAATAATCCAATTATTGTTTCCAACAAATTTGCAATTGATATGCTAATAACAACCCAATGTGTTAGTTTTTTTCTCTTTACTTTATAAACAATAATATAACAGGCTATCGTATTTAATATCATTGAAACAATAAATATTGTAGAAAGAAGTACAGCAGATGCTCTTTTATTATTCAACATCGTCAACACTCTAAAAAACATTAACATAGTTTTAAACTAATCATTATGACGATACAAGATAAAAATGATTTTATAAGTAAAACTTTTACTACATCTTAAGATCCAAAAGTCTGTAATATCTGTTAAGTCTGTAATATCTGTTAAGTCTGTAATATCTGTTAAGTCTGTAATATCTGTTAAGTCTGTAATATCTGTTAAGTCTGTAATATCTGTTAAGTCTGTAATATCTGTTAAGTCTGTAATATCTGTTAAGTCTGTAATATCTGTTAAGTCTGTAATATCTGTTAAGTCTATAATATCTGTTAAGTCTGTAATATCTGTTAAGTCTGTAATATCTGTTAAGTCTGTAATATCTGTTAAGTCTATAATATCTGTTAAGTCTGTAATATCTGTTAAGTCTGTAATATCTGTTAAGTCTGTAATATCTGTTAAGTCTGTAATATCTGTTAAGTCTGTAATATCTGTTAAGTCTGTAATATCAGTTAAGTCTGTAATATCTGTTAAGTCTGTAATATCTGTTAAGTCTATAATATCTGTTAAGTCTGTAATATCTGTTAAGTCTGTAATATCTATTAAGTCTGTAATATCTGTTAAGTCTATAATATCTGTTAAGTCTGTAATATCTGTTAAGTCTGTAATATCTGTTAAGTCTGTAATATCTGTTAAGTCTGTAATATCTGTTAAGTCTGTAATATCTGTTAAGTCTGTAATATCTGTTAAGTCTGTAATATTAGACCTATACCAAGTTAAAAAAAGTATATAAGTCTGTAATATTAGACCTATACCAAGTTAAAAAAAAAAATCAGAAATATTAAGTTTTATTAAGTATACAGAGTTTTTTAAAAAAAATGCAATATTAGGAGTTTAAAGGCTTAAAAAATATATAAAAAAGTTATTATAATTTCCGAAATTTGTTTCAAATAATTAATGAACACAAAGAATAACAAAAAAGATACTTCAAAAGTATATAAAATATGGTTTTCTATTATTTAATTTAGGAATATAGTATTAACAACTATAAAATTAAGAATTTGAAAAATTGTGATGAACAAAATAAAATGAAATAAAAAGAACAACAATAAAAAAGACAAAAAAATACACAAAAAAAGTGGTAAAACTAAAATGAATTTATGGGGATTCACTCCCCAAGAGTTTTGCAAGCGATTTTCTGATGTCAGTTTCGCCACTGTCATAATAAACGTATTGCTTTCTTTTAGAAGGTTTTAACCAAACATTTGTACTGTGTCAAAAGCTATGCTAATATCTATACAAATACTTAATGTATACTTATTTTTATCAAATTTAAAGGGTTAAAAAATATTATGAACGAGATAAAAAGTAGTATTATCAGTAAAATTCATTTTTTGTGATTGTAATAAAAAAAGTTATTTGTTTCTAAAAAATGAGAACTATTTATGCAATGTGCTTATTGTAAATATTTCAAAAAGCAAAAAAAAAATGGAAACATTCTTTGTTCTACAAAAATTAAAAATATGCATCAGAGAAGCTGTTAAATATTTGCCTAAATTTTATTAGATCTTTGCTGCTTCATCTATACCTACCTATGCTTAGTTCATCTACGTCCTTTGTTTGGATATGTAAAGCACATTCAGCATACTTAAAAATTTGAGCGAATTTTGGGTTAATTTATTGTTGTTTAATGTTATTTTGAATTTAGTTATATATGAATTGACGCTAAGCTTACCGGGTTTTAGTTTTAAGGCTAAATTTAATCCTACTCTAAAAAAAAACCGATTAAATGTTTTTACAACTATTAATTCATTTAATATATCTATATTATTAAAGTTAATTGTTTTTGAAAAAAAAATTTGTTATTGATTTTTTTACCAATTACTACTCTAATGATATTTCGTGTTTTCTTAGTATCATCTTGAAATTTTAGTAATTGGTTTGAATAATGAGTTTTTTTGGCTAGATTATTAACACTACATAACACAATTTTTATTCTTGGATTCAAAATGCTATATTTCAAATAATTATGTCTAAAGATAGTGGAAAAGCAACTACATTGAGCACAAACTTTGATTTTTTAATCACAGTACGAAAAAAATTCTATTTTATAAAGACAATTTCATGTTTTTGTTTGTTTTGGTCTCCTAAGAAAAACAATATGTAGTCTCCCATAATACTTTTGTTATACTTTCCTCGATAACGAGGTTTTAAATCTAATTTTGATGAAAGTCCTTCCTCTGATTAAGCTCTACTGTTCTCCTTGAGCTTATCGAGATCGAGCTTGAGCTTATCGAGATAAATTGTTTGAGCTTATCGAGATAAATTGTTTGAGCTTATCGAGATAAATTGTTTGAGCTTATCGAGATAAGCATCAACTTTGAGTGATATTCTGTATCTCATTTTGACGTAATTCTTTATGAAAAAACTCCATATGGTTTTCAGTCTTGTGATTAACCAGAAAGCCATGAACAACTGCACAAAACATATCTAAGCTAATCTCTCTGTCTTGTTCGGAAGCTTAACAAACCATGTCACATTCTGTAATATTCTTGATCAGTTGTACTACATATCAGCTCTAACCTTAGAATGCTTTAGAAAAATGTCTTGGAGGTAAATTTAAGATGCTGACTCTTCGTCAAGAGCAGTGAGATGTTGTTTGATGAGACCTAACTGGATATATCATAATGAAATAAGCATTTTCTGAAGTTCTATCAGTGATTCCCACTTCTTATTGCTTTTGTGCACACAGAACTTGGTATGGTGTGACTAGTTAGTCAATTTTGTGATAATGTGCAACTATGTTAAGGTTATCGCAGAGACATTGGACACAAGAAAGTTTATGAAAGCGTTTGAAAGCTCATAAGGAACAAGAACATTTCAACCATGCATCCGTAGTTATTTTGTTTTATAGAACACAGCATCATCTTGACACTGGTGTAATCTTTTTTGAGATGCACAGAGTAAGCCATTGGAATGAACTCGTTGTTGTTTTGCTGTTAAGCTACATGTGTTTATAGCTCCAAAAGGAACTGTCTGTAAATGTTTACTCCAGTTAAATGTGATACCAATAGCCTTGAAATGAACAACTACTTTGTTGCAAAAGTACACCTCATCTTTCTGAGTGAAGAATTTAGAAAAATGATTGGTAACGCTATCATTCGATTTGGTATGACCTTATTTCAAATTAGATCTTTGAAATCTTTTTGATTAAAGAAGTATGACCTTCTCTCCTCAACCGCACCTACAAAACTTAGTTTGTATATCCAATATTTTCTACGCTGTTAGAGTTGCTGCTTTCTTCTAAAGATGAGTACATTTTAATTATTTATGCAAGAAGATTTTTGTCTTTTTTAGTTATTTATGTAAGAAGACTTAATGATCTTATCTATGATATTATATATACTTTTTTTCTATTTTTTGTTTTTATGAAAAAAAGTCTTTAAAAAACAATTTATGAAATATAGTTATAAAGTATAAAAATTATGAATTATATGTTATTAATGAAGTATAAGTTATAAACAAAATTTTTATGAATTAGTTTTTTTTTCTGAAAATATATTTACAAAGTTCATCTTAAACGATAAATTTGTTTTATTCGGATAAGTTTCTACTTTGATGCTGTCAATATAAAATAACAAGTAATATTTTTTAATTTATTTTTGGCAACCAACCAAAGAAAGGAAATAAATTATTTTTTACGAAAATAGCTAAACTATTACCCTACAATATATATAGAACCTATATAGACACTTAAAGACACTGTATAGACAATAGAAAAGCAAAAAGGTTAAAATTTGAACATTTGGCGTTTCGACAATTGTTCCCCATCGGGAGGGGCAAGACAGGTATAAGGACGAAGAAGGACAAAAAATTTTTTTTTTTTTTGATTAAAAAAAATACTTTTTTTGATCAAAAAAAGTATTTTTTTTAATAAAAAAAAGGCTTTACTTAAGATTTCAATTGTTAATGACTGTAAATAATTTAATTTGCAGATAAAGAAAAAATACCTTTAAATTGTTTTTGATTTCTCATAATCGAAGCCATGCTCTTCAGGTAGCCCTGCGTTTTAAATAAAAGGGAAATATACTTACTTAAAGTAGTTAAGGCAAATTAGTAAAACTTATATAAAATTCATAATTTTTTTAAAAAAATCCTTTTTTTTACAATTATTTTTTGTTCTTTTACAATTCATGTTCGTAGTATAAAAAAACTTATATACATTTAAAAATAAACAAATTATAAATATTTCGTAAAAGCGATAAATTTAGTAAATGGGTCGAAACAATCATACTATTTTTTCAATCACTGATCGAAAATTTTAAATAAAACCGGAACTGATAAGAATATTTAAAAAATAAAAACACTAGAAGAAAGAGAATAATCTATTCAAATGTGTCAAAATAAAATCCAATTCATTTTTCAGTCATTTTATTTCTATAAAAGTTTAAAAGAGAGTCGTAAATATTTGCTTTTTTCTTTTATTTGCTATCTTAATAACACCAGAATAGGGTAGTCCAAATTTTACACATTATTTAAAATGCAGACTCCACAACCCTAAATGTGTTCTATATAATAACATAATACTGGAGTTAAAAAATCTTCAAAAAAAATTTTTTTAGGGGTAGCTATAGTCTCTTAAACATCAAACCGGCCCCTAATATTATCAAGAAAAAAAGTTATGTTATGTTAATATCAAAAGTATATTATGTTGGGTCTCAAAAGAAGCAAAATTTTATAACAATTTTAAAAATAATCATCGTCATATAAAAAAAATATTATTTTAGTATTCACTGCATAGAAAATGACATTTTCTAACTAAAAATAAAAAAATTTCATTTTTAAAAAAAATTTTGTTATAATTTTTTTTTCTTAATGTTTTTTATAAAATAATAACTTTTTAAAATAATTTTTAAAATTTTTATAAAACTTCGCTTCTTTTGAGACTCAACATATTATACTTTTAAAGAACTTTTTTCTTGACAATATTAGGGGCCCGTCTAATGTTTAAGAGACTATAGCTACCCCTAAAAAAAATTTGTTTTGAAGATTTTTTACCTCCAGTATTATGTTATTATATAAAACACATTTTGAGTTGTGGAGTCTGCATTTTAAATGTTTAAAATTTGGACCACCCTACTCCAGAACCATAATTCGTTCAAAAATAATCCTTCTGTCTTGTAGAAAATTTTATTTTAATACCAATTACATAATTTTTTTTCACTTTATAGTTAAAAATTAGACAAAAAAGTAAGAAAAATTAATATTAAATTGTTTCTGGTAAAACCAATCATTCGCATATTTAATGTGAATTTTTATATTAAGTACCTATGTGATATAAATTATTGTATTTTCTCGTGTGTTATTTCCTATATAAAGTTATTTTACAAAAATGACTCAATGATATTAATTATTCACGTTCAAGATGACAACAAGTAATAAGTCATACAATGAAGCAGATATAGAAACTGCGTTAAATGATATAAAAGAAAAAAATAATTCAATCAGAAAAACTGCATTCAAATATAGTATTCCATTCTCAACTCTAATAGGTCGCAAGAATAACAAAAACGCTTTAAAGGATCAGGATCAACAACTTTACACTCACAACAAACAGAGTCAAAGATAGCGCATGCGTTTAAGTTCTTATGTGATTGGAGTTATGGTTTAACACGAAATGATGTCGTGGATTTTGCATGTGGTTACTTTCCTCGCACAAATAAATTAGACCTAAATAAAAACGGTAGGCCTGGCAAAGACTGGTTTTATGCATTTTTTATGAACCGATGGTCTAAAGAAATTTCAACAAGAAAAACTTATAATTTAGCATCTGCCAGAGCCGCTTCTTGTACGCAAGAAATAATTGATAATTATTTGTCACAAAACATTATTAATTATCTGGTACAACTTCTGGTTGTTACATTTAGAATTGCGATGAAACGGGTTTCTATGGTGGTCAAGGCAAAACAATTATAGTCAAAAAGCGTGTTTTGAAACTCACTGGTAACAATGAAAAAATCCATTATGCAGTGAACAATTGTTGTAATGCTGGTTGATTTTACACCACCGTTCGTAGTATACAAAGCAAGACAAATCTTTAGAGTTGAGTGGGCTAGAGATGGTCTGACTAGCACCAAATATTTAATATCTAATTCTAGCTGGATTGAACACAACACATTTATTGAATGATTGAAGGAAGTTACAACTTTCAGAAGCTACAACGCTTCTGAAAGACTTTAATGTTCCAACAAAACGTTTCAAAGATCCTGCGCAACTATAGTTGTTTGGGATGTGCAATATCTTTATATGAATTACTTCAACTTTTTTAAATACTACACTAATCTCTTAAAAATTCATCAATATATTAACCATATATGGTCAATTAGGAAATTAGTATATTGTAAAACGGTTGCATTTAAATGTTTAGCATTGCAGGCAAGTTTCTTTCTGGTCAGCAGTGTGAATGTCTTTAAAAAGGTGGTAAATCCTAAACAAAAATAAAGCTTAATAAGCTAGATCAAAGTCAGAACAAGTTCAAAGTGTTCAGCCATAAACAAAGAAGTTTCAACTACGTTGTTAAACTCATTACAAATTGCTTTTATTTAATCCAGCGGCAACGTATTGTTGTTTGTTTTGAACATGTCCTCTAAATGTTCTTGAGATTACTCTGTTAAAAATATTGTTTGATTTAATTCACATCAATACATAACTCTCAACTTAATAGTGATTGCTTGCAGTCTTGTTGAGAGTGAATTAAAATAAAAATAAATAAAAAAGCAACAACAAAAAAAAATCAAAAAAAACAACGTAAGAACAGTTATGTGAGTTATGTTGAAGTATTTCTTTTAAACTAGCATAACGTTGCATTTATTAAAATTTCAATATATATATATATATATATATATATTGAAATTCACTTTTTTTTATTACTCCAGCAATTTTTTATTACTCCAGCAAAAAATTGTCCGTTTAATAAAGATCGTAAATCGTAATGATATAATACATATATTAGTAAGAGTTTTATGCCTGCATTGGTAACACTGATTTTGATAATACTCATAGTTTTTGTACGGTATAGAAGATAATCTTTAATATATATATATATATATATATATATATATATATATATATATATATATATATATATATATAGAATATATTTATATGGAATATATATATAGAATATATATGTGTGTGAGCGTGTGTATGTGTGTGTGTGTGCATTATATTAATTACATACATTCAAAAATATGCCCGTGGAGAGTATATCTTTTCTACATACAAAATTTATCTAATACATACAATTTTATGTGTTGGCCAACTTTACAATCTATTGTCACAATAATATAATACAAAATACATATACAAAAATACTACAAAGAAGAAAAAAAGAGGACTACATTTAACCTGTAGAGCACTTTGTGACTTATTAAAAGTTTCAAGACTTTATTTGGAAAACATTAGGTTGTAAAATGAGCTGAATAGTGTTATTACCGACGCAAAGGAACTAGCCAAAAAAGTGGAAATTTGTCCAAAGTTCACTGTTGAAGTTGTGACCATATCAAGAACGAGTAAAAGACGAATTTCTTATGAAAGACGAATCTGTAAAATTAGCAATATAATCTTTCAAAATAAACTTTTTTTTGTAAGACACTGAAATTAATCTGGGCACTGAAACCTATCTGGGCACTGAAAATTCATTGTCAGAAAGGTTTGAACAAATGGAAAACCACAGCGAATATTTCGAATTCCTCTATGAAAAAGCTAGAAAAATGTCAAACAGATGTAATTAAAGAAAAGTACAAAAACCTGCTTTCAGTTTTGGCAGCTAATGGCAAGAGGTTCATTCATATTGACGTCAGTCAATGAACTATTTGGTTAGTTTATAATCTTAGCTCCTATGTTGTACAGAGATAACTGCCCAGAAACATGTCTTATATTACAAAAAACCATTTGATTGATATCTTTCTCAATGTATATGAATGCCCCGCATTAAGATATACATCTTAGTGAGAGTGCGTTTCATGGCGGTGCATTGAAAATTTTGCTTTATTCCCGGTATCAAGGTGGAGACTTACTTACTAGAACTTTTTCGTGAAAGGGAACGTAAAAAAAAGTCATCCAATCATGTAAGAAAAAATTAAAGATTAGTAATTTTTAGAAATTAATTTTTTGTTTTGGAAATTTTCTTGATGGGTATTTTCAATTTTTTTCTGCAAACAAAGCTATTCTAAAAACAGTGCAGTTTTTAGAATAGACCAGTTAAAATTAAAATTAATATTATTTCTTTTAATTGCCAATTATATTTTGACAGCATAGTCTCTTTTAAGTATTTTTTTATGTTTGATTCTTTGTGGTTTGCGTAACGTTTCTATTCGAATTCGGTTAAGCCGAAAGTTTTGTGAGAAAATGCGTTTGAAAGAATTTATAAGACAATCAATTTTTTGTTTGCAATTGCAATTTTGAGTTTTATTACAAGGAATCGATGAAAAAACTGAACAGACTGCTTCCTGTGGACAATTTAATCAATGCAACACTTTTCTTGAGGAAACTGATTTTTAACAATCAATGCAACACTGTGGCAATTCTTTCTATACTTGTTGGTCAGCAATAACTTTAATTTTGTGCAACATATTAGTGGAAGGAAAATGTTTATCTATTAATATTAAAAACGTTTTTCCGATATTTATTGAAACATTTTTGTTGTACGGATGGTTGAAACAAATTATATTTCTATTTCTATTTCGTTATTTTTCAATTTTTGTTTCAAATTTAAGTTCGAAATTTTTAAATTCTCTTTTTTTAAATCTTCATACACACGTTTAGAAGAGTTAAAAATATTTTCATTATAAGAGTTTTGATTTAGTTTATTAATTGGATTTTGTTTTAAGAATTAGGAATTTGTTTTTGTTATAAAAAATAGGAATTTGTTTAAAGATTTGAGGGAGGAAGGGTAGGGGGTTATATGTTATTTTAAGAAATAGGAGTTGTTTTAAGAAGTGATTTGAATTTATATTAGTATTCAATAAATCATCATTAGTTTTTTTATAAGGTAATAAGAATTTTCCGAAAGGTAAAATGTAACATCAAGAAAATTACAATTTTTAAATTAGTGTTTATTTCAATTTGGTGGCCAATGTGTTCGGAAATGTTAATAATTGTTGACGATTTTTTCAAGTTAAGGCCTTGATTTATTTTGCATTATTGTTTAATCATCATTGCGATACAGGCCTAATTGATTAGATTGAATAATTTTAGCTAGGGAGTTTAAAATATATAAAACAACAAATTTGCAATATTCTGCTGCGTCGTAACTTCCCATTGTTACATCAAAGTTCTCATGCGTGATTTTTTTCATCCACGGCTCCTTATTAAAATAGAATATGTTTTTCTGCAATACTTAATTAGACGAATTGTGTCCTCTGTAATTTTTGTGTTCTAATGTTTTATGATAACGTATATAATCTAATGTTTTATTATTATCTAAACTTAACTAATTTTTGCTGAAATTGATCAAGTTGTATAAATGTGCATTCATTTTGTGAGTAATTTTAAAAAACAACAATGATATTTTTCCACTGCTGCAAATATAGTTTTTTAAAATATTTCTATTTATTTTGCCCAATTTAATTTTTCTAACGTGACCTAGCTCACTTTTTGAAGTTACTAAATTTGGGTTATGGTCTTTTAGTGTAATATATAAATATGTAAATATATATATATATATATATATATATATATATATATATATATATATATATATATATATATATATATATATATATATATATATATATATATATATATATATATATATGGACTTTGGCAGACAAGATAGTAGATAAATATTTTTTTTTTTAACATGGCTATTTTAAGCACATTGTTTTGAAAAATTTTAATGCTTTTAATTATCTGAATGATGTATTTTACAAAGTTTCAAAGAAAATTTCTAATCTGTCAAATTTGGCTAATTAAATAAGAGATTTAAGAAAAGCAATTGAAATGATTATATCGTGTTTAAAGCCCGTTGAAAATGCTGAAGATCATATTAAAGTTGTTGCTGGATCTATTCAGATTTTAATTAGGCAGTGTGAAATTCAAATAGAACAACTTTAATAATTGTATAGCTCATCTTTTTTAATTTGAATTTCAAAGCCCAGTCAGATAAAAATTAACTATAATTTTTAAATTTTTATTTCTGGTAATCTCCCACATCGAATAGATGTGGGAGATTACTTTTTTATTTACCGCTTTTACTGGACTTTCAGGACATTGCTTAAAAGTTGCATAATAACAAAAAGGTAAATATAGCATCCAAAAGCATATGATTTGGATAAATGATTTTGATAAATTTTGGGTAGATAACTTGTAAGTTTTCCAATATTTATAAAATTTATTTTTAGTTTTGTTTTAGTCTTGAATTGGTGGATCATTTACTTAAGATACTACAAAGAATCTTCGGAAAAACTTTTTTCATATTTCGGAAAAAAAAAAAAGAATTTTTTCCGAAGTATGAAAAACTTTTTTCATACTTCGGAAAAACTTTTTTCATATTACGTTTAAGATTTAGGGGGAATAAGCTTATTAAAGAAACTTTAACTTTGTGATTAAATGTTCACTTTTTTTGAAAATTCAAATCGAGTTCAAAGCCAGGTCGAATTCAAACTTAAAAATTCTATAGTTAATATTTAAATTTTAAAATTAATAGCTTAGTTCTGTAATGTTCGGTAGTGGTGTAGTGGTAGAGCGTTTGCCTCATAAGTGAGAAGCTTCGAGTTAGAGTTGAAGTTATAGAGTTTAGAGAAGATTGTAAACACAATTAAAAGTAGCCTTTTCAACTTTAGTCGCCCTCGTGGGTTGGGGAGGTGAGTAAACATTAAAGGTAATATGTACTTCAAATCTTAAAAGTTAATAAAATAAAATTATTAAATAAATAATTTGATTTGAATGAAGATGTTTAGTGAGTGGGTGTAAATAGTCTAGAAAGGGAACATTAGAGACGTCTGGTATAAGACAATAAAAACATTTAATATAATGAAATGGGCTTTCAAAAGATATAACAAGTGGTAAAGTGATTTGAAGTTTTTTCTTATTCTGTTGTTACTATATCTCTTGTATCTACAGACCCAGGTGTTTTCTGTTTTGATTTTTAAGACTTGAAATTTTTGCGCCTGCTCGTTAAAATGTGCAGGTTCCCAACCCAACATTCAGAGTAAAAATTAATACTGTTTGAAATGTCATCAATAGATATTGATATATAAATCTATTTTACACATGGGTTTTACTTTTATACTTAATACTATATTTTTATATAATATATATTGGTTAATACTTATAATTTAATTTTTTTAAAGGAAGTTCTTAGTTTTTTGAAATACTATATACGTATTTTCTTTTGTAAAAAAAAAAAAAGGTTTTAAAAAATACTTTTTTTCTATAAAACTAGTGGTTTTGTCTTAGGAATTATTTTTTATAACAAAAACATATTCTTAAGATTATCTAAGCTTATCTACTTGCAATTCTTATTCACATATAAAAAATTTAAATTTTTAGTAACATGTTCAAGCACTTTCTTGCGCATATATTTATTGCATTCCAACATTCATCTCCTCTAATATTTTCTCATACTTTCTCTAATATATCGGTTACAAATATCGATTAAAGTTATTACATTTTTCGTTACCCGATAAAAAAACAAAGGGTAATTTACGTTATTTATTTTAATAAATTACCTTTATCCAATATCCAATTTGTTCACTAAATTTCAGATTACCGAGTCAATAAAAAAAAAAGTTGATTTGAATGTCTGAAAAAAATGCTTTTCACTATTTTTACAATAGATGCTTTAAGTGCTTATAAACATTTATTATGTTATGCAACTTAACGTCCAGACGTTCAAAGTGTATTATCATTGTAAACGAGATATATTTTGAAATAAAAATACAAAATAAAAACACATTTTAAATGATATCAGAAAAAGTTTTTGTTGCAACGGGTGCCTGATTAAGTCTATTTAAAAAAAGACGGACTATTTTTGAAGAATTATAATAGTAATAAAAAATTAAAATAAATATTATATATGTCTATTATATTACAAACAGAAAAACTAAAAGCGGTATTTGTTTTTTAAATTTTTTGTTTTGATTTGAGTTCTTCTTTTAAAAACGTATGCCATATCTAACCAAAACGGGAGTATATTGTGTTTTCATCACAACAGTTTTAAAGAAAACAATAGTTGTTTTTAACAAAATGAATGCATTTTTAATGATGTTTAATGATGATGCATTCGATTATATATCCATCTTATACTAAAAAGAGGGTACTTATTATATACTTATAAGTGTGTACTTTGAGGAAAAGAGTTTTTCAGCTGTCTATTTTGCGTAACAACTTTTACTTCAGCACAAGAGCATATTTTAAAATTTGTTTAAAGTCTCAAAAATCTGACAGTTTTTTTTTTTTGCTTATACTGGTGAAGCTCTTTCGGAGATCCTGAAAGCAGAACGAACTTTGTCCACAGGAAGCAGTCTGTTCAGTTTTTTTATCGATTGCTTGAAACAAACAACATGTCGCTGCATTATATTGATAGCTCACTACGAATGGTCCTTGATACCTAAAAGTTTTTCAGTATTATCTTCTAAAACTTTAAACAAAGATTGAACATGCTAGTACTGCGGTAAAAATAAATTTTTTTTTCATTTTTCTGTTAAATCACAATATAAGGTTTAAGTTCATTTACCAAAGGGGGTAAGCTTGGTCATCTTCAATATTGACACTTTTTTCTAACACTTTGCTGATGTCTTGTTTCACATTGTTTTCATTTTAAAAATCTTTAGCCAGTTTACTGCAACGTTTATCTTTATGATCAACAGCAGCATCAGTTAGAATGTCACTTTACGTAACATTACTTAATGTAGGCATAAGAGCAACGCTCCGAGCAAACACATCTATTAGAATTTCTCTTGTTATTGTACTGTTACAAGTTTTTTTTTTTGTTATAGTTACAGTATTGTGCAAATTTATTGCATCAAACATGTTTTTTTGTTACTTGTTATTTGGTTCTACGTTTTCTCTATTTAACTGTGATAAGAAGGATAAGTAAATTAAAAAAAAGTAAATAAACAAAGATCAACACTGCACCAAGAAAAATATTAATTTAACTTTAGTTTTCTAATAAATTTCAATTGGAAATAGCCACACTATGTTCAGTTTATCAATATACAGTTAGTCGGGTCAAGAAACATTGCTTTGCAACTATTAAGATAAGGAAAATGTTGTCAAAAGGCTTCAGTGAGAAATGATATTTGATGTTGGAGAGTATCAAAAATCCAAAGCAGACAAGTGATGAACTAATAAATGATTTAGTTATGCATAACATCCATGTCATTAGTTATGCATGACACCCATTCTGCTTGAGTACTGTGCGGAGCAGGTTGATAGCTGTTAAGAGGTTTGCCAGAAAAACTTATAAAAACCCATTAAATACAGATGTCATGAAGAAGAAGTGTCTTCTGTGGGCAAAGGAATACAAAAAGCGGACTAATGAACGATGGAGAACAGTACGACAAAATGTAGTTTTTAAATTTTTAGCTTTTTTACTTATTATATTTGTATAATCTATTTTTAATACTGAATATATTAAATTGAAGAGACTTGATAATTGTTAATTTATTTATTTAACAAGATTTGATAATTGTTAACTTATTTATTTATTGACGACTGGTTTTTTTTGGATGTATCACATTTTGAAGAGCAAGACCAGAAATTAAAGTTTGTTCGTCGCTCTGAAGGTGAGCCAATAAGATCTGGACACATTGAACAATATGTAAACTATCCAGAAAAGAAGATATTTGGGGTTGTTTTTCTGCTGTTGGACCAGGAGCACTCTACCCAGTTACTGGCATGATGAACTTTGATACTTGCATTGACGTTCTGCAAATACATTTAATTCTAGAGATGTTAAAAGTTTCCGAATGAAAACGGAATATTGCAGCAGGATTTAGTCATATGTAAAACGTCTAAAAAAGTCAAGAAATTTATGGTAGAAAATAATATTTAAATACTTAAATGGTCTGGCAACTCCCCAGATCTCAATCCAGTTGAGAATTTCTAAGCATTTGTAAAAAAAAAAATCATGTGAAAACATGACTGCACTAATAAAACTAAGCTTACCACCACAAGTTTTCAGGTTTGGTTTGAAGACCTAGAAATCTAAAACATTGTTAAAAAATTGGTAGATTCTATGCCTAGCACTAAAAGGACACACAAAGTATTAGTGTATAAGTTTTTATAATATAGAAGAAATTCCTGGATTTTTATTGTTTTTGATTTTGATGCAATTAATTTGTGCAATACTATGTTCAAAATCATAAATATAAGGCAAATAAGAAATTTTATTAGAACTGACTTCGATTTCATAATTAGATTCCATTGATTGATATTCCTTTGTTCTATCGATTAATGACATTTTATTGTTGATATAAAAAAAATCTTTTGCTAACGGTGAATTTACTATAGGTGTACTTATTGACCTCTTCAAGACATATTATATATATATAATACATAACTATATATATGTATGTATATATATATATATATACATATATATATATACATATATATATATATATACATATATATATATATATATATATATATATATATATATACATATATATATATATATATATATATATATATATATACATATATATATATATATATATATATATATATATATATATATATATATATATATATATATATATATATATATATATATATATATATATATATATTAAAATAGTGGTAAAAAAGAATAGAATATATGACATGAAGGGCATATTAGTGGATTACCTTATAAGGTAAACGTACGCAATCCATATACAGTGGAATTAATACTTACAAATTACTCTTTGATTTCTAGCGGAGTATCTCAAGAAACTATTCTCCTCTGCTTTTTTTTTTCTTTCTGCTTTTTCTAATATTTGTGAATCATCTCTGAAGAGCGTCAAATATATCAACAATAATGTTTTCTGACAACAGTAACATTTTTATTTCAGGAAAATATATACCTCAACTAATCTAACAAGTAAACGATGAGTTGGAAAACATTTCAATATGGTTCAAAGTAAAGTTTTATTGTTCCATCCTTTAAATGAAAAATAAAAAATTCTTATTTCTTTTCCAAATCTGATTCTCGACAAAATTCGCAGGTGTTCTCATTAACGAAAACCTGGAACAAGCATATTGGCTTTATTGCCAGCAAAATATCAAAAAGTATTGGTATTTTATATCAGTTACAGGATTTACTAAATTATCAGCATTATAAAAAATATATTTTTTAGTTTTATGCTTAAATTACTTCAATGTCGCCTTGATTACTTCTAAAAGCGAACTAAAAACACACTATCAAAAAACTATCACTGTCAAAAACTGAAACATGCTTTAAGAATAATAGATTAAAAAAGACAAAACGTAAAACCACTTTTCGAAATAACGAATTTTTTTACTTTAATTAAACATGTTTAATATTTTATGGATCATTTACAGGAGTAAATTTCTACTATTCCATTTTTCATGATCTCTATGAAATATTTTACGCACGGCTTTTTGATTGAACTGAAACAATTATTGTGTGCTCTCAAAATTAATGTATCGCGCACTCTAAAAATTAATCATCTACAAATTAATTTGGCACACACATCATCTACAAATTAATTAGGCACTGCAGTTTTGCAGCCTTTTTTTTTAGTGAGTTAATAACATTTATTGCCAAGTCTAGTAAAGAAGATGCATTTTGTTGTGAAATACAAAACTAAATAATGACTTAAGGTTATTATTTAGTTTTGTATTTCTTTTGTACAGCCTTTATGTATTTCTTATTATTTAAATTGGTTTTCAAATATTTTTTCATTATTGAATTTAAAAATATTAATTTATCCAACCCAGGCAAATTTTTCGCAAAAAACCTGTAAAATAGTGACTTTTTAAGGAAAATTCAAAGAATACTTGAAAAACAAAAGAAACTTTTAACTTAAATGATATAAATTGTAAAAGTTAGGAAATTCTTTTTTCTTTGTATTTATATTGCTGTTTTATTAAACCAAACCAATTTTTTATTATTATTATCTTTCACAGTCACTCTTATGCAATCTTATCAACTAAATTTTGAGTTTGAAAAAAATGGGGCTGGATAAAACCAAGCCTTAATTAAACGCAGGAGCTTCATAAAATCCTACAGATTACCCAACTTCATATAGAAATTTAAATCGTGCTTGAGCGACCGCAGCGCAGTGGTTAGAGCGCTTGCTTTAGAAGCAAGAGATTGATTTTTATACTTAGATTAGCGATGTAGATTTTTGTTGATTTTTGTATAATGGTTGAAGATGCTGGTAATTTTCCTGAGGTGATATTACTTCTTTAGCAACGTCTTATGTTCTTGACATGCAGTATCCAGACGAATTGCGTGTAGTATTTCTTATAGTTAAAAAGATTTTTTCAAAAACGAAAACCACTTTCTATTTCACGACAAATCACATTCCATCCCACAATACAGCACTTTCAATCCCACAACTTAGGAGAGAGTCGGGTAGCCTCGAACACTTAAGGAAAATATAGATTGTACACATGTGCTAACAGAAAACAATGTGTCAAAAGACTTTTATTTAAAGTTCAAACGTTCATCTATTAAATTAGAAACAAAAAAAATAATTATTGTGTATCTTAATAATATAAAAAATATAAAATCTTAGAAAAAAGGCATGTTTCAAAATTGGAGGGTAGCCCCGGACACATTGTTTAACCATGGTTTTACCTCTTTTTTACCAGTGTGACACAAATGTAATATATAATGCTTTAGCATTGGACTGTTTTCGACACATTTTTTAAAAAATCGTCTTTAAAAATTGCCTCTGATATATAAGGAATGAGAATGAAAATGTCATAATTTAAAAATATAAACATAAGCTTTTTTAAAATGAAAATAAACACTTTAAAACACTTTTTTCAAATCTAATATTTTTTTATTGGAATTAAATAATAACTCTTATAGGTTTGTGTATTATATTAAATGTATTAATATTTATATAAAAAAAAATTGGTTATTTTCAATATGTAAACGAATTTAGTTGTCCGGAGCCACCCCGCAAACATGAGTCCAATACCACCCAATCATACCTCATTCACAAACACTAGTTTTAAAATCAGTGAATTAAAGTTTTTAACGATTTTTATTTATAACTATTTTAAATAAAAATGTATCTTTATTTATTAAAAAGTTATTAGTTCACATAAAAATTAAGTATATTAATATGTGAATTAATTATGATAATACGTCGCTCTTCTTGTGGTAGGAAACAAAATCTTGCCCTCCCAGTCATTCGCTTTGGGATATTATGATAGATATTTTGCATATGCCATAATTTCACTCAAATAATGTTATTATAGCATTAAAAGTCACATTCAAGCTTCTTTAGTTTAAGCTGTACATGAAGGGTCCGGAATTACCCGCCGTCCTGGGCTACCCGACTTTCCCCTATCACTTTCCAGCTTTAAAATATTTTTTTTCTTTAATTAGTTTGAAATTGGGTAACTACTTAAATGGTGATAACACATCACTTTCTAGCTTTAAAATATATATTTATTTAATTAGTCTGAAATTGGGTTACTACTTTTAAAATTTTAAAATCTCAAGAATAGATCAAAGTTTAAGAAACCTCAAAAATAGATTTTACGGTTTAATGTTGGTCGTGGTTACTAATTTGATAATACTGAAGTTCAACAAATCTCAAAAATAGATTGTTAAATAGCTATTAATCAGAATAATAACTTTTTTTTTTGTAATTATTTTTTATTTAATGTTAATGTAAGATATTTGTAACGAAATATGGTACGTTAAAACATACAGTCCTACCATTACCCAATAAAGCGTGCATCTATTGCTATTTTAAAATAGTTAATTCTTGTCTAAAACCTTGCTAAGTTATGATAAAACATTCAACTTGCTAAGTTATGATAAAACATTCAACGTTTAGAACATATTAAAAAAAAACAATAATTTTAGTTGCTACTTTTTAATTTCAATAAAAATTTTAACAAAAAGCTATATGTAGTTTTATGTGCAGGAAGTAATGAAATCAATTAGTTCGCAATTTTTTTTCAATGCTTATAATCTGCTTCAAAAAGTTTTACTGTGAACCACAATGATTTTTATAAAAATAAAGATGAAATAGGAAGCCATCTTTATTTAGGGGTTTGTTGTTCCCTACCTTTTATCAAGAAATTTTATTACTCTTAAAGCATTAAAAGCAAAAGATAGCAGAAAGCATTTAGATAGATTAAAACGTTAGAAAGCATTTAAAAGTATTTAAAAACAAAAGATAAAAGGTTAATTACTGTAGAAATGGTTAATTACGGATGAATCCTAATTACGGAAATTTTGTTTAAGATTTTTTTTTTTTGGAAAAATAAAAATAAGCACAAACCAGAAAAAACTTTATAAAAAAAATTATATTATATTAATTAAGCTTTAATTTAAAATCTATTATTATAAAATTAACGTAAAATAAAATAACTTAGATTAGCGAAATTCAAATACTATGAACAATTTTTGTGCAAAATTTAATTCTGATTAATAATATGTGAAAAAATTTGGGTAAATATTAATAATACTTGATAGAAATAAAATTTAAACAAAAAGTACCAAAAATGAAAATACTGGAAAAAGCTAGTGTTGTTTTTTGTGTGTAAACATATGAATATGTGTTGTTGTTTTTCAATATAAATTAATAATGCTAATGTAAAAAGAGAAAAAAAGAAAAACTTACTAATATTCAAAAAGAAGAAAGAAAATGAAAGGAAAAAAAATTAACCGTAATTAACCGTTTTATTGAGATTTATTGCTTACAATTCACTCAATAAAATATTTTTTTGACAACGAGTTGAATAAATCTCAAATTAAAAAGATGTTTTCTGAAGGATTTATTAATGAAGCAGTTAATAAGGACATTAGAAATTGTAGAAAGCTTTGAAAATATAGAAACAACTGTAAATAACTCCTCCGAAATAATTATTTTCAACATAGTCAAGGCGCAAACAATTGCGTATGGTGTCCAAATGACAAAATAGGTTATCGCTGATAGTATACATATTCTTAAATATACCTTTTTTAAAGTATCAATAGGTTGGTTTTTTTTATTTTGAATAAATTTACTCTTTTTTTGTCGTAAAACTGCTTTTTTGCAGATGTACGATGTCAGAGCTATGATCAATCCAGGAAAAATGTAACAGAAGATAAATACAGTTAGAATATAGGATAAAGAGTCTAATTGTGACAGTTTCCAATCCAACGAACAGCTTTTATTATTGAGATCTAGGTCATATTTTGACCAACCAATCACAGGAAACATTGCCCATATAAAGCCGTAGCCATAGCAAACTGATATCAACGTTGCTTTAGACCATGTCTTGTTACATATTTTTAGGTAAAAATTTCTCCATAATACTGGACATTTAATGGCAGCTGTTCTAATTAAAGAAAGCACAGATAAATGAGTAATACTTGTTATTGCTAGACCAAAAACCGTAAAACTGCTTGTGATGCACAATGGAGTTTTTCTCAGTAAAACTTCATCTAATGCTACTAACTCTGGTATTAATCCAACTATAGATTCCAGCAAATTCGCAACTGATATACTAATAATAAATAAATGAGTCAGTTCTTTTTTCTTTACTTTAATCAATATAACATAACACGCTGTCGTGTTTAATACTATTGACGTCACAAGTATTAAGGAAAGAAAAACGCTCGAAGCTCTTTTGTCATTAATCATCTTGAACAACCTAAAAAGAAATGAAAATAATTTTTAAAAAATTGGGAAACTGGAACATATCAAAGAAATAATATCAAGTTATTTTATTATTTAAACATAAACATTAGGCCGGGTGAATAAAAAAAAGCAATTGCTTTTACTCAGTAATTGGTCAGCTTTACGTTGTTAAGAACTTCAGGAATTTTGTTAACACCTTTATTCACGTAAAGCTGATCAATTACTCCAAAAACACTGAGTAAAAGCGATTACTTTTTTTTATTCACCCAGCTTATTAAATATGTTGGATATTTATTATTTTTGTATTTCAGTTGTAATACGGAAGTATCCTCGTGTAATTATTGTTTTTTTGTTGAAACTTTTAAAATTTAGTATTTTAACTCTTTTGTTTTAAAAATAAAAAGTTTTATTATAATATTTTTAATGCATATTTTTTTGTAATAAATAAAATCAGGAAGGAAGTAAGCTCCCCGGCGGGAAATCGGCTTGCGAATAGCTAGCTATAATCGTAACGATAAAGACAGCGATTTGGCCACGAGGATCGCTAGCTTTTTTAAAGTTATAGATATTTTCAAAGATAAAAATAGCAATTTGGCTACGAGGACAGCTAGCTTAATAAGCTTAAGACCCGCCGGCTATTGTAGCTAGTGTCATATCGTAATAAAATCGTTGTCTAAAAAATTTTGATGCGTAGCTATCAACCAGCTATAGATTTGTAGATATTTTGTCGCTACCTACAAAGCTGCGATATGTAGCTAGCGACACATTGCTACAATATCGCCATGCTTAAAATTCAATTATTCTCATAATTATAACAGACTCAACACTAAAAATCGAATTTTTAAAATGTTAGAGACATTAGGGAAAAATAAGAAAAAAAAATCGCTTGAAAATCGCTATAAAGTTAGATAGTCGCTGACTACACCTTTTCAAGATGTAATTGAGAAAACAAAAATTGTAATTAAGAAACGTAAGATGTAATTGAGAAAACGTAAGTTATAATTAAGAAACATAAGATGTAATTTAGAAAACAAAAATTGTAATTAAGAATCGTAACATGTAATTGAGAAAATGTAAGTTGTAATTAAGAAATAGAAAGATGTAATTGAGAACACGAAAATTTTAATTTAGATATCGCTTTAAGAGAGTAAGTGTAAAATGGCGCTTAAAAAAAATGGCGCGTAAAAAAATGGAGCGTATAAAATTACCCACTTAAAAATGACGCAAGATTTGTAGCGTAAATTTAATTTTTTAGGGAAAAATTTAGGGAAAAATTTATAATTTTTCGGCAAATGAATTTAACATAATAAACACTAAAAACATTTTAGGGAAAAATTTAAAATTCAATTAAAAATTATAGTTAAAAATTATATAATTAAAAATCACTTCATTGATCATTTAAGCACCAACTTGTACGTCTTCCATATTTAAAATAGTTGCATAGTGCGTGGTTGTGTGTTGTACCGCACGTGCACAATCTCCTCCCATTATAGTATTTTTCGCCTCAATTACAATTCGTTCTAAGTACTGCATGCGCTGTTCCGCAATCCCGTCACCTAATACAGGTGGAATGCGAATTGCATTTTTAACGTTACTTTTAATTTTGGACCAGATCGTTTCCACCGGGTTCAATATTGGACTGTAAGGTCTCAAACGTAACAACTGAGCTGGTGAATTATCAAACACCCTTTGCAAACGAGCGTGACAAGGAGCATTATCTGTTACGACGACCAAATCCTCCAAACGATTCCCGGATGTAACCCACTGGTGAAACATAGCCAACATCCACTCGTTACAGGAATCTGCTTTAAATGATCCCCTGCGAGTTTCTATCATGACGACATTTGTAGTTAAAATAGCTGCGATCAAGTGTATGTTTAAACCTTTTGAAGCAGGTACTTTCATAATTGCTCTTTTTCCTTGTCTCGCGCGTCCTTGCGTTTTTCTACAAAAAAGGTTAAAATTTGTTTCATCCAACCAAACTATCTGACGACCATTTGTGATATGTTCGTTGATGTTTCTAACATATTCAGCTCTTTTTTGTTTGTTTTTATAACTGTTCATTGTAGAAGGCTCCTTGTGCACTTTTTTTAATGAAAACAATCTGCCATCGAGGTAATTTGCTATTGTTGTTGTGCTAACGTTTATGTTAAATTGTCTTAATATCTTTGTTTTGATGGCCACCAATGTTAATTGACAATCATTTTCAATCCATGTTAATGTTTCTTCGATTTGATCTTCGGTCAACTTTTTCGGTTTAAAACCTCCTTTTCCGATGAATTTTGAATTTCCGCTGCGAACCCAATTGTATGCTGTCTTATATTTGATACCTAGCGTTTGCGCGAGATTCACCCATTCTTCAAATCGCTCCGCACATTCAACAACTCTTCTCCTGTCATTTGGAGAAGATAAAACGTAACGTTTCCTTTCAACTTGTTCAGTTGTGTGTATTTCATGCCGACAAATCGGACAACTTGAATCTGGTTGTTCCAGAACTGGACGTAAACAAATTTGGTGACATAAATGTTGACACGGATTTAGCTTAATCACAGACTTTCGGGTCATCGTGTATTGGCATATAACACAACGATCTTTCAATTCCATTATTATTACTTGTGCATACAAAAGCAAAATTTAAGAGTATAACTTAAATTCATGTCCAAAAAGACCTTTTGTAACAACCTACAAACTTAGACTGTGAATTTGCAATTTTAATTTATGTGTTCTCAATTACAAGTTACGATTTCTCAATTACATATTATGATTTCTCAATTATATCTTACGTTTTCTCAATTACATGTTGTGTTTCTTAATTACATGTTACGACTTCTTATTTACATGTTGTGTTTCTCAATTACATATAACGTTTTCTCAATTACATGTTGTGTTTCTTAATTACATATTACGACTTCTTAATTACAACTTTCATGTTCTCATTTACATCTTGAAAAGGTGTAGTCACTAGCTCATTTTCCACCTATCAAAATATATTGTCAGACGATAAATTTTAACAACTTAATGCAACATAAAAAGGAAAAATAGCATTATCCAGGAGTGAAATTCGACCCAATATTGAAAAATATAGCATTATAGCATTAGCTCAAGTGTAAAATAAAAACGCTATCGAAAAATAACGATGAAAGATAACAGAAATAAAAGCTCAATTGTTTAGCTTCTATAATTTATGTTAGCTTCAAAAATCTGAAAGGAGAAACAGGTAAGTTATAAGTGTTCCTGCTTTTCAAAATGCTTATTTTTTAAGGAACTGTTGCAAAAAAATTTTAAGGAACTGTTACAAAAATAATCCTATGAATTGATTCAGAGGATTATTTTTGAAAGACATTCTTGTCTTCATTCATTTAAGTCTTCAAATCCGATAAACAACCAAACTTTTCAAAAAGCAACAAATATATTCTCACAAAAACTAAATAAAGTTATGCGCTTTTGTTAACATTGTGAATGCGATTTTAATTGAACACTGCTTGTAAAGAGTGGCAACAACCGCAAAATCAGCTGTCTTTGAGATACCGTAACACAGGGTTACTTTGGCCAGCGGGGTTACTTTTGCCATTTTTTTAAAGTTTAATTAAACATCTGTAACTTTTAAACAGTAAAGTAACGTTATACTATTTTAAATAGTTACTATTTTGTATAGTAAAACGTTACTTAACTGTTTAAAAGTTACAGATATTTAATTAAACTTTTTTAAAATGGCCAAAGTATCCCTGCTGGCCAAAGTAACACTGTGTTACGGTATCTCAAAGACAGCTGCTTTTGCGGTTGTTACGGTAGCGACAAATAAAATAATCAAATTTAGTTTAATGCGTTACTATGATAATTTGACTGGGCGATAAGAATCATTATTAGGACAGTACCAAATTATTATTCAAACGCCTTGATTAATTGGCCTCGAGTGTGAAAGTTTTATGTTATATGTTACTCTTTTATCTTTTAATCACTTCATCTTGTTTTAGCCGACTAACTTCAGCTACACTGAAATATTAGTCCACTAATATTAGCAAACTAAAAATTTACTCGACTAATTTTAGTTAGACTAAATAGTTGGCCAACTAACTTTAGTTAGACTAAAACTAACGTTAACTCTTATCCCTAGAAATTAGGATAAAGCAAAATTAAATTAGATATCGAAGGTGACAACTTCGTTATCTAATTTAATTTTCGATATCTACACATCAAAAAAATAGGTTTTAAGTTTCAGGTCAGAGTTCTCAAAATATTTTTATGGAACTTTTATCAGTGACTCTTCAGGATACTGAATCTAGAAGCCTAAAAATCAAAAGGTAGCCGTTTTTGAAAAAAACGATTTCAAACTTTTGTAAATTATTTTATAAAAGGGGAGGGGGTGAGAGTTGTAAAGTTAAGGTTTTCCTTATAAAAAATCAATATTACCACTTTTTAATTATGTTAAGGTTAATCCAGTATTGCAGGCAATTAAATTTTGATCATCTTAAGATGTTAATTTTTCTATAGAATTGTTGATGGAAGCGTAATTCATATAGTATATTATATAGTAATTTATTTATTTAATATAATAATAGAATGTTTCAAACCCTAATTATTGTTTCGTTATTGTTAATATTAAACATAAACTACTTTATTAGAAAAACGCCTAATATATTATCTAACAAAACAGTAGACAGCAAAGAAATACGAGATCATTCATTGAATCAGAAAATTATTTGTTGCTGTTGTTTGAAGAAATGCTTAAAATGTATTCCAGTAACGAAGTTATTAGAGGCTTACATAAAAATGTATGTAAAACCTGAATATTCAATATCTGTCTACAGTTATCCAACAGGTATATTCCATATTATGATTAACTAATGCAATTGTTTTATTAAAAATTACTTTCTAAAAATAATCATTATTTAAAAATGAATTTACTTTATCTAGGCATTTGTCCAACATGCAAAAAGTATGTAAACTTACTGAACGAAAGTAAAGACATACCAAATGCAGTTAAAACTCGATGGCAATCTTCCCAATTATCTAGATGTGTAAGCACTAAAAATTGTGAAACATGCACAATTTGTTCAAAGGCTAGATCAAGATTTCCACATATGAAAAAAAAAAGAAATTAGTAAGTTCTAATAGGATGTGTAACGTTTGCTTATGTGCGATCAAAAAAGGAATTCAACATCAATGTACTGAAATGAATGTGTATACAAATCTTTCTGCTAAGTTATTTAATGCTTCGGAAAAAGTTCAGAAAAAAGTCACTTCAAATGTTTTAAGATCGATTATTAAGAAAAAGAAACTTAAGCATGGAATCCAGGCCCATCTAATTACTGGTAATTTGTTTATTAGAATGATTTGTTTATTAGAATGATTTGTTTATTAGAATGATTTGTTTATTAGATTTATTTGTGTTTTCGAATTGATTAAATCATCTTAAGTATTTTGTTATTCAAGTGGGAATTCCATTACCTATAACTATTGGTGTTACTCAATTAGTTATTAGGAAAGTCAAATTTGAAGACACTGAAACTATGATTAATCGGCTTGGACTTGGTCAATTCAAATCACACATCCTTCTGAAATCCTTAAGGAAAAGTTAAATTCAATTTCAGGCAAATCTTGAAAAAAAACTTTACTAAAAAAGTAAACTCCTATCTGAATTTTATGATGTGAAGACAATTTTTGCAGAAGAAAAAAAAAAATTGTCAACCAATGTGTCAAGAGACCTTGTTTATGTTTTTCAATTAACAGAGCTGCTTAACTTTGTAATGACTTGCAGAAAGCAAAACCCTTACCAAACATTAATACAAATTGGAATTGATTCAGGTAAAAACATTATTAGATGAAGAGATAATATATAACCTATATATAATATAGAACTTAATAATATATGTTTTTTAATATAAAATTAAAATTTTGTAGGAGGTGGATCACTTAAGGTAATTTGTAACCTCTTTGATCCAGAAAAAGAACGGTGCGAAGATCAAAGTTCTCACGGAACATACTCTGGAATTAACCATTCCATAGTTCTTGCATATTGTGACAACTTGCAGGAGACACACAAAAATTTAGTCATTTTATTAGATCTTCTAAAGCTAGAAGATTGTAAATATGTTCTTGCAGCTGATTTGAAAATAATTAATATTCTTCTAGGAATTTCAGTAAGTTATGATTTAAAAATATTTTGTTATGTAACTTTTAATTAGTTAATTAAGATTTAAAAAAAAACATAAGAAAATTTTGTCTCATGGTGGTATGTATGCTTGTGCTTGGTGTGAAGGAGAATGTGAACTTTTTGGTGGGTTGACAAGAACATTTTTATCATTGGATCTATGGCATCGGAGATACATGGAAGCTGGTTATCAAAGTTCTGAAATGAAAGATTATAAGGTGTGAATGTTAACTATTATTTAATTTAAAAATTTAAAAATCTTTTTATTAAATAAAAAAATAATTTGTTTAAAATTGGTAATCAAATTAATAAACTTTGATAGAATGTGGTGAATGCATGCCTAATAAAGGAGAGAAACAAGTCAAAACTAGTTCTTGAAGTCATTCCTTTGCCGGAGCTTCATATGTTAATGGGATTTGTAAATCATATATCAACTTATATAATTATTTATTGGCCTGAATACAAAGACTGGGTTGACTCACTTGGATGTATTAGAAGAAGATACCATGGGAGAACATATGAACGCAATACATGTAGGATTATTCTTAAAAACTGTGACCTGTGTAGGATTATTGTATACATGTAGGATTATTCTTAAAAACTGTGAACTGTGGCTTTCACTAAGGCTACCAATTGAACTCTTACCACTTCTTACCAATGAGAAAATTTGAGAAATTCTTACCAATGAGAAAAGAACTCTAACCAATGAGAAAATTTGAGAAAATAGTTCAAGAAACCTTCGGAAGTTATCTTAACCCTTGTTATCTTCAACTAATAACTGACTTTGGTGGTTCCTACAAAGCCACACAGGATTATTGTTCAGAAGTACAGTTAATTATAATGAACTTGCTTTAAATTGACTTTTAATATACTATTATTATTATCTATCTTATAGAATATTTTATTAGTTTCTAGGAAAGAAACTTACTGTGACCTGGAAAATACATCGTTAGCTAACAGTATAAAAAAATCTTAGTTTTTTCTAACATTTGCATTTTATGCAAATGTTAGAAATATGACTAACTATTGCAACATGAATAGTTATTCAGGTATATGAGTTAGGATAATAAGAATTGTCTTTTTAAAAGAATTTAACATTTTTTCTCCCCTTCAAAAAAAAAATTCCACTCCATTTCAAGGCCAATACAACTTTTTTAGTGTTTGAGATAACTAACTTCTAGACATGTCGGAAACTCCAAACATTGATATTTTCATGTTTATGTCAAATAACGACACCTTGCCAAATTTGTGATGACTAGAACTTGGGTACAAAATAACTACTAAAGGTTAGCCTTGTTATGGGTAGGGACCCATAACAAGTAAAAAACAATTTTTAAAAAAATCACTAGTATTAACTCAGTTTAAATTCATTAACAAATTTCAAGTTTCATGGAATAATCTCTTAGTGTTCCGTTGTTATGACCCACCAAAGTTTATTGTCCCCTCAAATTGAGGGGGATTCGAACTTTGGGGGATTGAAAATTGAGGGGGATTCGAAAAATTATGACTATAATTTTTGAACACTCAGATATAATTGCATGGAATTTGAAATTCATTGATGAATTTAAACTGAGTTAATAATAATGAAATTTTTTTAAATACAAACTTGTTGTGTTTGCATTATGGACAGGGAGGCTAACGTTAAGGGTTTTTTTTTTCCCAAGCTCCAATCGTCACATATTTTTGCAAAGTATCCTTATTTGACACAAACATGAACATATCAATGTTTAGAGTATCTTAAACACTTAAAAAAATTGTCTACAAATGGCCTTGCATTAGAAATTTTTTTAAAAAAAAATCACCTTTTTCAAAAACGGCTATTATTTGATTTTTAAGCTTCTAGATACAGTATCCTGAAGAGCCACAGATAAAAGTTCCATAAAAATATTTGGGGAACTCTGACCTAAAACTTAAAAACTATTTTTGTGATGTGTGGTCAATGAGTATTTGGTTTTAAAAGTTTCTCTTAATAGAAGATTTAATGAGGCGTTTGAAAATAGAAACCACATTGAATGGATGAATATTTATTTCATCTTAAATAACACGTTATTTCACCTTAAATAACACAAGTCTTTTAACAAGTATTATTTTTTTTAAATTTAAGAAAAAACAATGTCTTCTTTTTTCTTGTTATGATAAAATAAAAGTAAAAAAAACATTTCTTGATTTTAGGCGACGAAAGCGGTATGTTTTGTTTGGTTTTTATTATTTCAAATAACTCTAAAAATAATGTGCAAAGGATTTTCTACAAGCGAGCTCCTTCACCATTTAAAAAATGCACACAAAGAAATGGATTTAGATATGAAGCGTCCACATGAAGACACTGGATTGGAAATTGAAAATATGTACACAAAAAAATCACAACGTTTGTTAAACAGCAGGCTATTGAGAAAATTGTGTCAAAGCTAGCAAAGCTAGACGGATTCTCAATAAATGCCATAACTCTGAGAGAGAAATGACTCTGAGAACTTTTAGAAATTTATATATATATATATATATATATATATATATATATATATATATATATATATATATATATATATATATATTAAAATACTAAATTTTAGTGATTTTATATATGCTTTACATATATAAAATCACTAAAATTTATTTACAAGTATGGTTCACAAAACATAATATTCAAATAAAGAATGGATAAGACATAACAGACTCATAAATATAAAAATCTCTATTTCCTTAGAAAAATAATTTTTTTTAAGTCCTCATTGGCTAAATAGTAGCAAAGTCCTGTTTTTGTTATCGGTATCTCAACTTTGCAAATATGTGGACATCAGGAATCAAGCATTGACTTTCCTTTGGTGGCCATTTAAACGACCGTTAGGACCATTCGGACACATAAATTTTACAAGCACATAATTTATATATATATAAATTAGCATAAAATATATATATATATTTTATATATATATATATATATATATATATATATATATATATATATATATATATATATATATGTATATATATAATTGAAATATATCTTAATAATTATTTAGTTTTCACTATATTATTTGCTCTACTAATTATATAAAACGCTGTATTGAGCACTCTTACTGGAAATATTAACATAATTCCTACAATATATATATATATATATATATATATATATATATATATATATATATATATATATATATATATATATATATATATATATATATATATATAAATTATATAATAACGGAAGCGCTAGTAAATGCACTGGAAACATAAGAAAAGACTTTGTTTTAACATTTTAGAGAATTATTTATTTAAGATTAAAAAGCAATTATGCTTAACCGAAAATGTTTAACAATATAAATCATAAGTGACAAATTTAAAAACATATTCATTGCGTATACCAGCCTCCGAGTGATAAAATGAAATTTCCAAGATTTTATTGAGTATACTAGCCTCCGAGTGATACTTTAAAACATTTTCAAGACTTTATTGCGTATACCAGCCTCCGAGTGATAAAATGAAAACATTTCCATGATTTTATATAAAATAGTTAGTAATATAATAGTTAACAATAATAGTAAAAAATATCTTTTTATGATTTATTTAAATTTAGTATATATCCACTTATTAATAAGACAAATGGGTAACTAAAAGTTCAGCAACTGCGTTAGACATTATTTTTTTAATCCATTTTTTAGAAACGTCATTTAAAACAGGAACTTTTAAGACAGACAATAGTGACTACTTTCCTATCTACATTAAAATTAATAATTTTAAAATAACTTCGACTACTCTTCCAAAGATAATCCTTAACTTAAAAATGCAATCTATCAACGTTAAATACTTTCCGCAAAAAGGGTCGTCCATAAATTAAGTCACGCTTAGAGGGAGGGGAGTATTAGCGGTTTTGTGACGACTCATACGAAACTTCTTACTAAAAAGCTACGATGTGACGTATATTGTGGACGACCCCAAAACTATATGAAGAGAAATGGGAAAAACTCTGTCATAATACAAAGAAATGTCATAACACTAATGAAGCATGTAATGCATTTTTCAATAAGTTTTTAAATATATAATGAAAAATTTCCCAACGAAATAATAAAAACGAAAACGAAAACAATTGCTAACCCTTGGATGAACAAAAGACTTGTAAAACTCAATAACAAATTTCTCAAAAAAAGGAGTATTGAAAAGGAAAAAAAAATAAAAAAACTATAAATACTTTTATCAATGCTTTCTCAAAAATGCAAAAAAACAATTTTATAGTAAAAAAAATAGTGAATGTAAATACTTGACACAAAAAAAACTATGGAATGTAATTAACAATATAATGGATCGTTATAAAAGTAATTCATCACATCCTTTCATTACTTCTTAACATTATTTCATCCAATATTACTCTTAATAGTTTCAATATTACTCGTAACCTCCAATTGGTTTATTTAAAACCTATTTAAGTTCATTTAATGATAATTTTTATTTGACAGTGAATTAATGGTAAAAGAAATTGAGGATTCTTTCTCATCTTTAAAAATTAATAAATCTTCAGTTTTTGACGAAATATCAGCTAATATAGTAGTTTCAAAAAAAAATATCAGCAAACCTTTGTTTTATATTTTTAAACTTTCAATAAATGAAGGCATTTTTCTTGATGTATTAAAAGTTGCTAAAGTTTACCTAATTCATAAAGGTATTAGTTCATAATGATAGCTCCGATATCTCAAATTATAGACATATATTAGTATTATCCGTTTTCTCATAAATATTTAAACACGTTATGTGTAATAGAATTTATAGCCATTTTTCAAAAAACAAACTTTTTTACCCCAAACAGTTTGGTTTCTAAAAATGTAGTTCAACAGAGCATGCAATTATTGAGTTAGTTGACGAAATAACCAACGGATTTGAAAAAAATCATTTCACACTTGGAATATTTATAGATCTGTCAAAAGCTTTTGACACAGTAGATCACTCCATACTTTTAGCAAAGGTAAATTACTATGGTGTAACAAAAAATCATTTAGTTGGGTTAAAAGCTACCTTACTAACCGAAAACAGTATATAGTCAATCTAGATTTTGGTACATTAAACATTTTATGTGGAGTTCCACAAGGTTCAATCCTTCTATTTCTAGTTTATATGAACAACTTCTGTAATATATCTGCAAAATTAAATTAAGTTATGTATGCTGATGATAATAGTTTATTTATGTCCAAAAATGATATTAATCAGCTATATGGAGATGTATGATTTTAAATTAACAAGTTCTCAATAAACACAGATAAAACTCAGTATACATTTTTTTAGAAAAAACACAAAAAGAAAATCTGCCACTTAAGTTACCAACTTTTTTTATAAATATTTAACAAATTAAACAAAGATAACATTGTGTGGGCTAGAACACAACCAGCTAAACTTAAAAAGATGTTTAGTGTGCAAAAACATGTTAGCAGACTTACATACTAAAAAAATAGATTTTGTACGTATGTAAAGTCATTAAATGAGGTAAATGAAAATGTTGAATGTTTATGAGATAAACAGGTTTTAATCTTGATGTATAATCATTTTAAAAATCTTTCACAAAACAACTTTGAAACAAAATTTAAAATAAATCAAAACAAATGTTGTTCTCTAAGATGTAACGAGAGGCTCACATTAACACTGCCTCGTAAATTAAATAAAAATAAAGAGTACAGTTTGACATATCGAGTGAGATATGAAACAGCTTTAATTTCAATATGGTAAAATCAGTAAACTCATTTAAGTTCCTTATAAAAAAAAAAAAAAAATTGAAATCAAATAAAAGCTATGAAAGTTAATACATTGACTTTTTTTAATAAATGTTAAATTTAATTTCATATATTATGTTTTATTCTATTTTTAACTTTATTTATATTTATAGGAGTTTATTCTATTTAATGTCTTTTACATATATAACGGAGATGCTTATTTTTTATATTTTAACGGAATTTTATATAACTTTTATAACAATTTTATTTCACTTGATAAAATTATTAAAAGTCCAAATAGTGGTTTTATAAAAGGATTGCGACGACTTCGGTCATCCATATCTTCTTCGAGTCCCTGCCTGTTTATATAAATCGCTTTTTTTTTAATTTAATGAAAACATTCTTTGTAAGTGAAAACGTTTTCCTTATTTGAAATTTTTATTTGAAAACGTATTATTATTTTTTTAATTTTATGAACAGCGAAATATATATTGAATATATATATTTATAAATAAAAAAAATGAATAACAAAAAATGAATTCATAAAAAAAACATTGTCAGAAAAAGGCATGGTACTACCCAAAAATCCTTCTCATTTTATAAATATAATAAAAAAAACAATATGATTTAACCAAACAAAGTGTGATTTTGGAAAATAACAAAAGAAATATCTAGCGGGTCACGATTTCCTTTAATATTAGACGAATATATGTCTCTAAAATATCAACGCTGTTTAAATATAAGTTTACACTTATCAACAATGATTTTGAACCTGGGGGTGACTCCAATTTCTAAACAAACAACAATTTTATTTATTTCTTGAGTGCAATATTGACATTTAGACCATTGAGACCAAACCTTTGCATTGAGTGACTTTTTGACATTCTGGGTCATTCTATGTAAACATTTAATCAATAAACTATCAGCACTTAGCTTCATAAAAATTAGTTTTAAAACATAATCGCATCAGGCGTAACATTTTAGGTTCATAATTTAACCTATAGGTTGTCATTAGCAGCAGTCATATATGAATCTAATATTTTGTTGTTAACTTTGTTATAAGCTTTAAGATTTATAGAATCTGCTAAACTTAGTCTACGTGAAAAGATCTAAATTAATGCATGACCTTTGCCTATTTCTCGAAATGCCATCACACATCTTTTATTGATGCCTTATCACACATCTAGTAATAATGTCAAAACATTTTTGACCACTTTTATTTGGTAAAATAATTTCTTTAAGGGTAAAAATATTTTTACTCTATTGAAATTTAGTACAGGAAAGTCTTCAGTTTATTTGCCCATTCTTACTTTTCTGTTGTTAAATTTTGAGAACGCCCACTTGATTGCATTCTGAGCAAACTCAATAAACATACTGTTTCTGCCAAAATACTAAAGTTTATTAGCCTATAGGATATATTCAAATCTGCTTCCTTCAAATTATTACACTTCAAATTTTTCAATTTTAAACTACTTGCTGAACATGGAGCTTCATTTATAATGGTTTCTGAAGTAGAAATTGGATTCTTTATTGTTTCTGGAGGATAAAATAAAAATCGATTTCCATGATATACTCTTTTTAAAGGCTTATAACCTGAATTTCTTCGACCCATAACAAAATTTTAACTTTTTCAAACAAATTAGCTAAATTCAAACAAATTAAATCAAGCACGAGGTTATTATCGTTTTGTTCTTGGAAAGTATAGCTAAAAAATGAGTTTGAAAGTTTGAAAACTATACTTTAAAAATGCTGTGATTACATTTTCAAACACTCATTTTAGCAGTGGGTAAAAAAGATTAGAGAAAACGTTTTTAGTTTTAAAAATGCCGTTGCTTTGAGCGTAACTATGGAAAACCTTCTCAGCACTTTATTTAGTATTAAAGATATACCAACTTATGCTCTAAATTTAGTTAAAATTATTAAAAAATCTTAAACTAGTATAAATTTTGCATAAAGTTATGTAGAAAAGAAAAATTGAATTTTTCTATTTTCAATGGTATAGGACCACCTTAAAATTTTATTACTTGTTTTCTATTTGTTTTAATAATTTTATTTTATTTTCAAAATTTTAAACTAATATTTTTTATTTTTAAAATAAAATCACCACTTAAAACTTATGTATTAATTTTATTGTATTTCCGTACCATTTTTCGGCAATCCTGTAAAAAAGTCGGCAAAACGGCATTTTGGCTATGATATTTTAATGTAGACGTGCGCTTAAAAAGGTTTTTTTTTCTTTCGGTGAATTACCCATAATTTAAGTTAAATCATTATTTTATCAATTTAACAAAAGGTTAAATTGATAAAATTCTATGCATAGAAGTATATTTAAGTCAAATGTTTAACCGAACGAAACGGGACTAAGCTTGTAATATTATGTTTCAAAAACATAAAAAATAACTATAATTAAAAAAAAATTGTACTTAGACGTTCACCTTCTATACAAAGACGTATAAAACAATATTTAGTAAATGTCTAATAGTGTAGACTAATTTAACAGTTTGTCGTTTCGCTGTTCAAAATATTTGTAAAATTTTAACTGGGAAAAGTAAGCTTAAATAAAAATATATTGAAAAAAATTATTTAAAAATCTTACAAAACTCAAGAGAAGAACAACATTACAAGGAAGGATTCAAATGTAGTTTCTTTGATAAAATGAATGGCCTAATCAGCAATGTTTCCATCCTATTTTTTCTCAAACTTTTTTATATATTATTTTTGATTAGATGACTTAATTATTTTCTTTGAAAATGGCGGGTACTTATTTAAATATATAAATTTTGTTTAGATTATTTAATTATTTTCTTTGAAAATGTCGGTTATAATAACAATATTAATAAATTAACGTATTTATAACATTTTCATATATTTTTTATTACTTTAATTTTTTTACATCCCGTTTCTTATTTTGTCGATTAAAAAAGTAAATTGTTGGAATTAATTTTATTTGATATGTTTTTAGTAACCGCTGCTTTCTAAAAGAACGGTTTCCGAAAAAGAAAGTTAAATTTTCTTGTTTTTTTTTTTATGTAGTTCAATAAAGTTCAACTTTTAATATTCATTTTAGAGTCCCTTCTGTAAATAAAATCAATGTAAAATTGAGCTTTTAAAAAAAGTTCCGCATAGGCTTTGGAGTCAACCCCAGTACTGTCTTAATACCCGGGCAGTGTTCCTTCGATAAAGCGGAGACTGCTATTCGTTACCTCATTTGACTGCCCCATTCAACCAATATTGGAAAAGAAACAATTTAAGTAAAATATAAGATAACTTTGGTTCTCCTAGAGTAAAAAAAATTGAAAACATAAAATTTAGAACTTAAAATTTTCTATTTGTTTGATTCCCATTCTTCAGTTTTGAAATAATTTTTGGAATGTAAAAATTGTTGTTTATCTAGATAGATTTCAGACAAAAACCAAATTTTACACTTGAATTTGTACTTATTTAAAATGAGAATCTTTTGCAAAGAGTTGCTGTGATTGATATGATTGGTTGCCTTGAAATAACTCGGCGCTTGAGTAGTACTTCGGTACGCAAAAAATGTTGGTCATTAACGGACGCTACTTTGGATTAGTCTTAATGACTATTTGTAACTGTTCCTATGCTAAGCCAACGATATCTTCGGATATAAGAACATTGCATAGAAAAATATAGCATGAAAATTTAAATTTAAAAAAAAAAAAATAAATAACAAAAACTCTAAAAGTTGTAAACCAATCCCCTCATCCACACTATTAGTGGAGGCAATAATGAACCGAGTTTTAAATTAATATACCTAGTTTTAAATTATTACTATTTAAACTAAATTTATATTCACCGATAGATTTCAAATTTTATCAAATAATATTTTAGTGCTCGATAGTTACGACCATGTAAAGTTTATAATCTCTTCATTTTGAGGGGTTTTAATGGATAGAAGATTCATGCAAAGTGTGAAATATAAGATTTTTTTTTCCATTAAAAATATACTTTTATGCGACATATATTGTTCAATTAAATTAAACCTTCGGGCTTGTGGTTGGATAATAGAAACTATTTTTTGTGATGGCACTTATTTTAGTTTGGTTTTCTTTATTAAGCAGCTCTCTAGCAATTTTATAGTGTAAAATGATTATTTTTCGAAACAAAAACAGCTCACACTTTTTTGTTGCGTTATTATAGGATGGGGGAACTTTTTAACTTCGGTGTTGTTTTAAAATTTTTTTTTATACCCCATATATTTTTTTAGAGCGTTATTGAATTTAAAAGTGTTTTGTTTTTAAATAATTGTTTATGATTTGCTCATCTGTTTTTTTACAAATCAATCAAGTCAATTTCTGAAAAACCGATGTTGTTTTCCTGGGTTTGATTGGGGAAGATGTTAAGCATTTGTGTATTATATTTGTAATTATATTTAAATTAAACTATTTTAAATGTAATATTTCAAACTTTTCAAAACAAAAAACTTTTAAATGCAACCACTATTTCAAAATATTTCTTAGGAAGATAAAAAAAATTGAAAAAACACCCGAGTTGATCCACATTAAAAAATGCATCTACCTACAACATAACAAAAAATGTTTTCTTTGTTTGTATAACAAAACCAACTCAGTGGCTCCAAGGTTAGATTTATGTTGGATTGTGTTTGGCAACTTCGAACAGCTAAATTTAACAACTAAATCTACTAACTAAAACGTGTAATAACGCTTGTAATAACGCTGGTAACACTAAGCAATTTTTTAATGGAATTTCAACGTTGTAAAAATGTTGGCTTCAGTAACTTGATTTTTTATTGGAATTACAACGTTATAATAGCGTTGGCTACAATAACGTTATTTTTCATCAGAATTTAATTTTTTTGTTTTTGACGTAGGATTTCCTCTAAATAATGGTAGAGTGGGGCACAATGATACATGGGGCATCATGAAACGTTGCTATTGTAAAGGCGCCATAAGAACTATGACAACCACTTTTATATTGTGAATCAGTTACTACTTAAGCTATGTTTGGACAAAAACAAATATATTATTTGATATCATTTGACCTGCGAGGGTTCAAATATTGAATTTTTAATGAAAAAGTATTATACTGGTTTTTAAAGTTGCTAAGTTTTAAGGTATGTTGTTTAATGTATCGGTAAATACCATTATTTTGTAAACTACAACACATAAGCTCTTTACTCCATTAAACAAAACTATTGAAAAAAAATTGTAACTAAAAATAAAGCAATTACTTTCTATAAGCAAGCATGGTTTTCAAGAAAGATCGGGAGAAAGAGTTAAACCTAGAATACGAAGTTTAAATGACTCATCGAATACATGACCATTCATAAATATAAGAAAATCTAGATTATTGCTAGCGATCTATCTATTCTAGCGATCAGCTCAAAATTGAGTTTTATCTCAGTAAAAATTCACCAGCTTCTAAGAAAAGAGTCTCACTTCATGCTGAAGCAGAAGTGAGACTCTTTTCAAGCTCTAATTCCCCCTCCAAAAATCAGAGATTGTTAACATAAATTAAAAAAATTCTATGGCTAAGGATAGAATCTTGAGGAACCCCTGAAGTTACAGGAAATAAAGAATAGTGCTGTCTGTCGAGGACAACTTTTATACTACGATTGGTAAGGAAGGATTCAATAATCTTAAAGATGTTACCTGATACACCGTAAAAAGAGAGCTTTTGGGGAAAACTAGCATGCCAAACTTTATAAAAGGCTTTTTAAATGTTAAGAGCGACAGCCCCTAATGCACGATAAAACCTATTGGTTATTACCGTTAACAAATCAGCAGTAGAACGAGAAAATTGAAATCCATATTAATATATATACTTTTTTAAGTTGATTTAGGTGCCCCAAGAAGTCCTTACAGTCTTATCACAGAGCACCGCGGAAAAGCATTTAATAGGAAGTTCACGCCTCCTTCCCAACCGATGTCGCAAAACTTGCCCAGAGGTGGGGTTTGAACCACAGGTCTTACGTTTGTGAGGCAAGTGCGCTACCACTGCGCCACGGCTGCTTTTTTAATTTATAACTAGAAAGTAAGTTATAAGACTTAAGATTAGAGATTTAGTCTGTAAATTAAAGATTAAAAACCTTGCTTACAAAAGTAAGAAGACTAATGGGATGGTAGTTTGACAAG